TCGGTCAATATTGACCATGATAAAATACCTATACATGTAGCCGGGACCGAGTAATAAGTAAATTATCAAGGCCGACAAACCTGGCTATTTTGTGTACAATGAAACCAATCAACACTTATTTTGTGAGGGAAAAGAAGGGATATTTCACATCCATTGTCTAGTCTCCACCAGACTCCTTTGCAGGCTGAATAAATAGTAGAAATCGGCCTAAAAGGGAATATCATTGACCACTGAGGAGTTAGCCGGCCGGAGAGGGTCCAATTTGCCTGCAAAACTTCCTCTGGCCAAATGATATTCCCTTTTTAGGCACTAGTTTAGAATCAAGTCGGTGTCGCCTAACTATACTAAACTCAGCCCTATTGAGAAATGGAATCACCCGGAAAGTGGGCGTGGCGGAATACTGATCTCCCATTGGCTCCCGTTAGGATGGCGTGATTGCGTCATCGCTCTAAGGCCCTCCTCATAGTGGCCTGACCCACCTCCGGATGTTCGACTTGCAACTTTTCTCGTCAGTAAAGGCGAGTCGTGTTTTGTCGTGCCGTCGCTCAAAAAAAGGTAATGTTCTTTCTTGCCTGACTTTTTGTTTAAACTTAATCTTAAATTTTCTTTTAGCAGTAATAAGGCACCATATTTTGAAATGGTACAAGTTTGAGAACTATGAAATTCCCTAGTAATGGTTTTGGAAAGTATTTTCTTCTGTATTCAATCGTTGGATGGAAAAATTTGAACTTGAATATTCGCAGTCTTAATCATAAATTTCGAACAAATATTTTTAAGAATCCTTGTGCTGCTGTCTATTCTGTATATTATATACTTGTTGTGCTGAGGATTTAATACTTTAAATTGGAATAGAGGGTACCCCTTTTCTTTTACTAGTGTACAGAAATGTTACTAAGAAGTCCTAATAACAACAGGGTCACATACAAGAGAAAACAACTGAGCTTTCCTAACATGTGTTGGGCACTGGAGACGTGAAACTGCAGAAAGAATGTACTGTATGCCCCGCCAAATTTAGCCATAGCTTTGGCTCTCATTTCTCCTTTATTCTTAATTACACGGCTTCGTATAGGCACCTGCAGCCTGAACTATAGTCTTTTTACTCGGGGCCTTGTTAGAAGTCTAATCTCCAATCAGATCTTTCGTTGGGGGAAGACAGTATCAAATTGGCCAGTCTGTACCCAGGTGGGAAAATGGATACAGGCTGTCCAATTTGATACTGTCTTCCCCCAACGAAAGATCTGATTGGAGATTATTACAAGTCCAGCATGTAGCTGTGGGTGTCCGTGCGAAATGATTATTTACTAGTATTACCTACTACACTAACATATACATATACTCATGCACCAGCGTTCAGTTCTCTTTGGCAAAACTTTTTGGGATTCTTGGACACACAATTAACTTAAACATCCTCTTTGATAACACTAAACAACTATTAATTATAGCTACGTGATAGTTTGCTCTGTTCTTCTGATATTAACTGTGAATCGTGTTATCTGTATCTCTTAATCAAATGGCAATTCAATTCGAGGCAAAACAGGAATATTCTGGACAAGGAAATCTTGTCAAAGTCATCAAGGAAATCTTGATGACTTTGAAATAAACCCAAAGCAAACTACGCGAGGAGTCCCCTTATATTTTTTTGGTACCACTAATAATTACTTGCAATACTTAAACATGTAGCCGATTTCCGTTGTCGAAAAATCATACTATTTATCTATGGGGTACGGTATTAGCCTGGGTACCATCCCCAGTAGTATATTCGCAAACTCTATAACTGGGTCTGGACTTGCACACATATAAAACGATTGGTCATGACGTCACGTAATGAGCTAGCCCGAGCAGCGGGGCTTCATTTGATTGGCTGAGCCTCAGAGGCGATGGCCAATGGCGCGCCTGCATTATTCAAGTGATGTTTGCTGTTTTGTAAACACAGATCTTCGCGCGAGTGTTCCTTTTCTCGGTGCGTTCTTTTTTTTTTACCGGTAGGACGCCCAAAACATCACGAACGAAATTATTCAATGCATCTTTTTGCTCATTTTTGAGCGACGATATTCCGTCTAAATCGTCCAAAACGGACGTGATTGCGAGGTCAACATCAGCCTCCGTGAGCTGAGCGGCTTGTGCGTCAGCCATGTTGATGATTTATCGCGGAAAGACTGACTACGGCTATATCATGTGCGCTTTAGCGTTCGGTTCGCCGTCGGACATGTTGATGATAAGGCGTTCGGACGTTCGAACGGACGCTAACGTCGCCGTTCGGACGTCCGAACGGCCCTTACCTAATATGTACATACCCCAAAAAGGGCTTAGACGAGTAGGACCAATCAGCGCGCTCGTTCAAAATCTGAACGAATATTCAGACTCCAGACGCTACATATGTGTGCAAGTCCAGACCCAGTTATAGAGTTTGCGAATATACTACTGGGGATGGTACCCAGGCTAGTACGGTATACCTGATTCAACAAGCTACATTAAATAGACTATGTCAATATACTACCGGAAAGGCAGAGGAGGATACAGTTTATTTGCTAATGCACTCAATTCAGTACCGATATAGATAAGTTATTTGAACAAGTCACCAAAATGTAATTTTATGTAGTTTAATGCAATTTCAGAGGGCAAAGCAAAAAAAAGGGAATTTTCTGGATGAAGAAATCTGTCCGATATTCCTGCCATTTTAGCACATTTTTTTTGACATCATAACATTTCATACTTAGAGGGGTAAAATGCCCCCAAAACAAGCTATGAGAGGAGTCCCTTTATTTCTATTTTTATTCTGGGTACCACCCATAAATAGCTACAACCTACTCTCCAAGCAGAGGTTTGGGTTTGGGCTTATTTCGGCGTGATTTTAGGCTTTTTATCGGGACTTCTTTTTTTAACCGTTTTTTTACGCCAACCGTTTTAGAACCGGCCTACGATACAAAACAAGCAACAGTTTTCTGTTGGCGAGAGAATAAGAGGATAATCACAAGGGGCCTGGTAGGGGGGGGGGGGGTCCCGACAACGCTCTACGCTAAATTTTGGGAACCGGCTACGTATTACGCTAAATTCAAGAAGCCTCCCCCCATTACGGTTTACGTTAAATTCCGGATAGCAAATTCGCCAATTACGCTCTACGTTGAATTAGAGCGGTCCGTCTACGCTCTACGGAAAAGGACTTGCCCCATTTAAGAGATTGTCCTTGCCCTTATCCCGCGGCTTCCACCTATTACTAGTAAAACATAGTTAACGCAACAGATGTTCGCACCAGGGCGGCTCCCAGCATGTGTTTGGGAAAGGCTCTATTTATAGAAAGCTTACGTGCGTGTTATCACGTAGCACCCTCGATCCATGCCACACTCAATGGTCTACCCTAATCTCCAAGTAGATCCTTTAAAAGTAGATCCTTTAAATTTGGGTGGGAGAAAAGACAGGAACACCTTTGCCACCCTTGAATCAGAACACCCAGTCGATGAATAGCAGCCTGATTTGTAACGGCAACCCCGAAAAAGTATCCGTTACAAATCGGATGGCACCCAGGCTAGATGAATAGAGCAGCCCAGTGACGATTAACGGTGTATTAATCAGCCCATAACGCTTAACGGAAAAGGGCATGCAGGTCCTCTTAAATTTGGGTGGGCGAAAAGACAGTATCAAACTTACCACCCTTGGGTACGGGTGCTGGACACTGTCTGGCAAATGGATACTGCCAATTTGACTTGTTTTGTAGTGCAGCCACCCAAAATATTGCAGATTGGGTCTTCCCAGGTGAGCCGGTCGGCGTGACAATTTAAAGTAGGTCAGGGACAACCCAATGATAACGTAGTTTATGTCATGCTGACATGTCTATATCGTTCGATACGAGTGTTCCGGCCCGTGTGATAACTAGCGGTACGGCCCGGGCTTCTTTACGCGTACGGCCCGGGCTTCCAAATATTCCACATAATAATTTTAATGGAATAATTAGCACGCACCGAATGTTCTGGATAGGCGTGGACTATCCAGAACTGTACCTAAATATGGTTCTGGATACAACACGGTTCTGGATACGCGTGGACTATATATATCCATAACTGTACCTGAGCATGGTTCTGGATACAGCATAGTTCTGGATACGCGTGGACTATTCAGAAGCTTGCCTGAACACGGTTCTGGATAAAAGCACGGTTCTGGATAGTCTCCGCATATCCAAGAAGGTCATACTATCATAGATTTGCCCCATAGGTTCTGGATACTAGTATATACGAGTGAACTATCCAGGACCGTGCATAAGAACGGTTCTGGATACAATCCCTGTTTTCCCGCCACAGCGCTGCTACCATGCAGACAGGTAGTGACGGGAGGGTGTGTGGACTATCCATAACTGTGCCTGAACATGGCTCTAGCTAGATACAGCATAGTTCTGGATACACGTGGACTATCTAGAACTGTACCTGAACATGGTTCTGGATAAATTCACGGTTGTGGATGCCTCACGGTTCTGGATACGTGTGGACTATCCAGGACCATGCCTGAACACGGTTCTGGATGAAAGCACGGTTCTGGATGCATCACGGTTCTGGATACGTGTGGACTATCCAGAACCGTGTGGACTATCCAGAACTGTGCCTGAACACGGTTCTGGATACAGCACGGTTCTGGATCATGGATATAACCCTATCTTCCCCCCACAGCGCTGCTACCATGCCGACGGGTCTAACGTACGTGGTGACAGGAGGCTGCGGGTTTCTCGGCTCTCACATCGTGGACCTCCTGGTGGAGAGAGGGACCGACATCTCCGAGATTCGCGTCGTGGACATGAAACTGCGCGGCTACACCAAGGCTCCGGGGAAATCAGGTGGGAAAAAGTCTCCACCAGACTCCTTTGCAGGCTGAATATAGAAGAAGAAAAACTTTGATTACGCAACAGATGTAGCGGGTACAACGTATGCCAAAATATACATACATAGTTTGTGGTGTTAACATACACATATGGTGGTGTTGAGAATATCTAATAGTTCTACTAACTGTAATAGGAATCTGGTCTGCTTCATAAACAATGTATAACAAAAGAGAGACACTAATTATACTAATCTAACTCTATTAATACAATGTAGTAATAAATTGTGTATAAATAGTAGAAATCTGCAAAGGGGAAATCATTGGCCAGAGGAGATGGCCGGCCATAAAGGGTCCAGCTTCTGTGCAGGCAAGCTGGACCCCCTTTGCCGATTTCTACTATTTATTATTCAGCCTGCAAAGGAGTCTGGTGGAGACTACTCCTCTGGCCAATGGATACTGCCTTGCCACCGTATGACCTGCTTGGAGATGAGGCACTCTGGCTAGCATTCTTTAACGTAGCGCCAAGAATTGGAATAACTTAACTTTAAAAAAGAAACTTCATTGCATCCCCCGTCATTCAGTTCCATTTTTCAACATTTTTAGAATTTTTCTCACATTTCTGGTACTAAACACCCCACAAGAGGCCAGTTTACAATTTGGATTAGAAGTTCATCGGAATGGTTTTCAAACAAAGACTTTACAAATATAAAGAAAAAAGAAAAAAAATGTTTGCAAAGAAATTTGTCACTAACGATCGCTAACTGATGACGTGTAGGGGTCAAGGTCAAACTCATCCGCGGTGACGTCACCAACATGGCGGAGATGACGGAGGTGTGCGCAGGCGCAGACGTCGTCATCCACACAGCGTCACTGATCGACGTCTTCGGATTGGTCAGCGACGCGACCTTGTGGGACGTCAATGTCAAAGGTGAGTTGTCAAGGTCATGGTGATTACAGTCTATTTATACAATGTATATTGAAAGACAAAAGTTATTCAAAGAAATCTCCAATATTTCCCAAAGTTTTTCACATCTCAACAATGAGCCAAAGACTTTTCACATCTCAACAATGAACCAAAGACTATATTACTTAGCCTCTACCAGGCTTCGGAAGGCGGCTGGAAACAGGAGAAATCGGCCAAATAGAGAGATAAGCATGCCAAGGGAGCTTGTCCGTTGAGAGAACAGGGTGCGGCAAACTGTTCTCTCAACGGACAAACTCCCTTGGCATGCTTATCTCTCTATTTGGACGATTTCTACTGTTTCCAGCCGCCTCCCCAAGCCTGGTAGAGGCTATATATTACTGCTTAAGTCTCCGAACCGACTCATTTTTCAAAGAGTCGGACAATTCATCTCTAAACATTGTCCTTTTTTGTGGAATCCCAGGTACAGAGACCCTACTGCAGTGTTGTGTGAACGAAGATGTGACCGGTTTTGTCTATACCAGCACTCAGGTATTCACCAAAGGCATTTTCAGATAGCTTGTTAACGTTAGGCCGCAACATCTGTTATCTAATAGATATCAAGATCTAGTTCTTAAGAACTTCACGATTACGTCATTGTGAAGGTATGGCGGCGGCCTTAATGTGAACGCTAGGGGCTAGCCCCAACTTCAAACGGCCGGCCGCGCTAAACTACGATGGACTAAAGAACTAAGTGCAGAAATCACTCTTCAGACATACCATTTAGGTATTCAAAAACTCGCATTTCCCCAGAACTATCGTAGACTGGAACTCGTTGCCACCAAGCACAGTTGGGGCATCATCACTAGAAAGCTTTAAACAACTCCTGCAATCAAATGTGCAAAGATTAAGTATAACAAGTCGTTCGGTGTGATATAGCTAGCTGCTGCCGCGCCGCGTGCCTGCGAAGCTGGTGTGTTACGCCGAAGGGCGGTTATACCGGATATACAGATACAGATACCATGCATGACATACTGTAATGACAGATTTATCTAATTTGTTGTGTCCCTTTGATAAATCAAATCCAATCAGAACACCATTGGACCCAACCGGCGCGGCGACCCTGTGGACGATGGGAACGAGAGCACCCCCTACGACAGCTCGTCCCTTCCGCTGTACTACCACGTGACCAAGCGGGCGGCGGAAATGGCGGTTCTGAGGTGGAACGGACGAAGCACAAATGGCGGGAAAACTCTCCACACCTGCGCCTTAAGGCCGGGAGGTACGTCACACATATGCACACCTGTGCCTTAAGGCACGCAGATAACACACATGACTTCGTGAGCAGTGGATCATAGGTTGCAGAAAGTCTGTGGTGCCCCCCGTCTCTGTTGCTCACGTGTGTTATCTGCGTGACGTCACGGACGCGGTGGATTGCTCTTTCCTTGACAAAGACTGGAGTTGTACAGTCGAAAATTTGGGTGAGTCCAATTTGTTGTGTTGGACATTACAGTTTAAACTTGCTTCATAATGATTTCTACCAACACTGATGAACTTTCAAGATTTCGATGTAGTGTATTTGTACTATTGTGGTGTATTGGTACTACTGTTAGGTACTTTAACTCCAGGAAGATTAGCTACTTGATTTTGTACCAATGTCTTGTGTGTCGCTAATGGAGTTTAATAAAGCACATTCAAGATAACGTTTTACTGAAAACCCGCTGTTCCCTTCCTGCAGGTATATATGGTGATGGGGAGATGATGACGTTGAAGATTTGGCGGGAAATGGGGGTCGACCCGTTCGCCGGCCCCCTCCAGCGTATCAGCCACCCTGACGTCATCGGTTGCTGCGCTTACGTCGGCAACTACGCCTGGGCGCACCTCCTGGCCGCGCGTACGCTGCTGACGTTGCCTGGCAACGCCGGCGGCGAGGCGTTCTGCATCACGGACGACACGCCGGTGCAGAACGAGCTGTCAACGTACAACGACATATGCGCCCCTATCGGAATCCGTTGGCATGACAGCCTGCTCCTCCCGCTCTGGGTCCTCTACCTAATCGCGTATCTCCTCGCGTTGCTGCGTTTCCTCCTGAAGCCTTTTTACGACTTCGTTCCCCGCTTAACTCCCGGTGTTCTGACACTAGTCAACACCAACTTCTACTTTAACTACAAGAAAGCGACCCGTCTTCTCGGGTATAAACCGCTTTTTACATGGGAGGAGTCTAAGCGAAGAACGCGGGAAGGGCTGATGGCTTGGAAGGCAAGGGAGTTCTCGCAGACTTCTGGCGCGGCTGCGTTTGTTTCCAAGAGTGGCTAGAGCGGCGCTTTCGCGAGTTCTCGTGGTGGTGGTGGTTTTGGGGGGACTTTTAGGGGGAAAGCTGTACGTGTATCTATGAAAAGACGTGCACAAGTCTCTCTCCGCATTAGCGAATCCGTAGCCCGTATTATGAAAAGAAAATGCGGCTCAATAAGTAAAAATGCCGACCCCCGCCCCCCTTAGAAATTAACGCCGCCGCGCCAAGAAGTTTGTGTAGAAGTCTGGGCTAAGCGTAAGGAAAGGTAGGCTCGAGAGTTCTCGCAGACTTCTAGCGCGGCTGCGTTTGTTTCCAAGAGTGGCTAGAGCGGCACTTTAGTAAGCTTTCGTGGTGGTGGTGCTTTCTAGAACATTCTAGAACGGTCAGTTAAAGAATAAAGATCATTTCAAAGTTTTCAAACTAAGGTATGTCTGATTTTTGCTGCGTCTAGTTGTGTTGACACAGCATTACATGCCGCATGGGTGATTTAGTTGTGACATTAGACGAAAGTAGTACTGCATTAAAAGCCTTATATTAGGCTAACGCTACACAAACACACGCCGCGCTACGCACCCCTGTACAATATAAACGTCGATTGACCGGCATTCATTGCGGTAACCAAACTGTGACGTAATAATGGTATAGGTCCATTGTGACTAGTACATTGTCGAACCATACAATATTTGTCATCAAAATATAGATAAAACAGCCTTCATTCCAAGCCTGATTTTAATCTTGATTTCTTTCTTGTCCTACCTTGGTTCTATGTTATATGATGGTCAGGCTACACTTTTGTTTCACTTATTTTGGAATTATGATTTCATGCGCAATGTATGCTACTTAAGTTACCTTGATTTTGTATTATTTACTAGTAACTTATGTAACTTTATAAGTTACTTCTGTTGATTATTTGTATTAGTTTGAGTTTGATATTTTTGTTTGGGGTCTTCCCCAGGCCCAGGGCTCATTGAAAAGCGCCCCACGGGCGATATGTATCCCCCTGGTTAAATAAATAAAAACAAACAAACAAACATACCAGCTTGTTTCTTTTATGATAGCTGGCTAGGCACCATAAAATTAACAAGAATAATGAATATATTACTTCGTATTACTTAGCTGTTACTAGCTTGCAATAGGGATTTTTTGCCATCCGCTGTAAAGCATGGACAATCTAAGTTTTTTTTTTTATTACAACATATATAAAGAAATACAGACACGATGACGGCGTACTCAAGTTAGGCTAACTTATATATCAAACAATAAACTTAATACAAAAGTATAGCAATACATACACTAACGAATACATGATACACAGATAAAAAATAAGACAGATGGGGTTTAAATAAAGAATGAAACTAATAAAACTAAAAGCGCAGGTCCTTCACCCCCTCCCACCCTTGGTATCCCTGGTTGTGATTGGTAGGACACACTTAAGAAATAATGATAATGATAAATTAGGTTGAAGCAAGGCGTTTACTTGAAATTGTAAAATCTTGGGTTAGAGCCATTATTTGACAATTAATTTTGAAGGTAAATGAAGGTAAATCTAAGTTTGAAAACCCAGCTGCAGACCACAAATATACAAGTTACCATTTCCATAATCCGTAACTTGGTGACGAAAAAAAGGAAACATGCATCTCTGGACCTGCATGACGATTAGAATTTACGTTATAGTCATAGATATTAATGTTATTCAAATAGCCAGCTTCAGACAATTAAATCCACCATTTTCGTAAGACCGATCCTTGGTTGTTTGTCACACGCCATTGCGGATCAGCTACAGAAGGAAGCAGACACACCCTGCAAGAACAACAACAACGATCTGTGCCCGAGTCTCTGTCAAAAAAAGTGTCAACTGAAGCTGTTCTGACCTATTTAAAAGGTATGTGACTGTGAGTGAATAAATAATTAAGGTAAAATGCCTTGTATACAGTTTGCCACTGGCCCACGCCCATAGGTAAGGCTGGCAATCAGATTTTGATTCTCTAAGGAGATATGACGGGGGAAGGTTTGCTGATTTTATTGAAGACAATCAGATAGATAGCTGTCAGAAAAGTCAGCACATCAAAAAATATTCAATAATTTCCATCTTAATATCTGCTTGATGAAAATGTTAGTTCTAACAGGGGTAACGGGGGCGCTGCGCCATGATTTTTTTATCTATATTGTTTTATTCATATTTATTTTCATATTGTATTTAAGTGACGTGGCACTATTGGCAAAATTTGCGCTGAAATCAGGAACTACAAATAAACCATCAAGACTTTGCTAAGCCACAGTCTGTTTAAAATGTTTTAAAGGCTTGATGTTACGACCATTTTGCCAACACAAGGCTTTCCAAAATGAACACGGAAACACATCTTATCGGTCTACACTTGCCAGGAGATTTTCTACAATTGCATTATTCAGTAGAGTGCACGTGACTAAGAAACACAGTCCTATAATGGCCAGCGTTACTAAATTTTCAGAAATAAGAACTTTTCGTAAGAAAATTTATGTTTACAATTTGGTTACTCTTCTGTTGATATCCTTTTTCGAGAGGTCCAAACAAGGTTAAAAAAAAGGCAGTTTGCCACTGGCCAACGCCCATAGGTTAGGGTGGCAATCAGATTTTGATTCTCTGAAATGAGATATGACGGGGGAAGGTTTACTTTTTTTTTACTGACTGACGACAATGTTGGAAAGCTGCCAGAAAAGCCTGCATTTCAGAAAAAATTCGTCTCAATATCTGCTTGGGAAAAGGTTAGTTTTAACGAAAGTGAAGTAACAGTGGTGCTTCGCCATGATTATTTAATATGCTGACGTGGCACTATTGGTAGTAAAGTATATCATTGATATTAATGTTATTCAAATAGTCAGCTTCAGACAATTAACTCCACCATTTTCGTAAGACCGATCCTTGGTTGTTTGTCACACGGCATTGCGGATCAGCTACAGAAGGAGGCTGACACACCCTGCAAGAACAACAGCAACCCGTGCCCGATTCTTAGTCAAAACAAGTGTCAACTGAAATTTTTCTGACCTATTTATAAGGTATGTGACTGTGAGTGGATAAACAATTAGGGTAAAATACCTAGTAGGCAGTTTACCACTGGCAAACGCCCATAGGTAAGGCTGGCAATCAGATTTTGATTCTCTAAGGAGATATGACGGGGGAAGGTTTGCTGTTTTTACTGAAGACAATCAGGTAGATAGCTGTCAGAAAAGTCAGCACATCAGAAAATATTTTAAAATTTCCATCTTAATATCTGCTTAGTGAAAATGTTAGTTGTAACAGGGGTAATATGGGCGCTGCGCTGATTGTTTTATTTATATTGTTTTAATCATATTTATATTCATATTTTGGTGACGTGGCACTATTGGCACAATTTTGGCTGGAACCAGAACTTAAAATAAACCATCATGACTTTGCTAAGCCACAGTCTGTTTAAAATGTTTTAACGCTTGATGTTACGACCATTTTGCCAACACAAGGCTTTCTAAAATAAACACTTCAACACGTCTTATCGGTCTACACTTGCCAGGAGGTTTTTGTACAATTGCATTATTCAGTAGAGTGCACGTAACTAAGGAACTCAGTCCTATAATAGCTATTTTAATGAAATTTTAGAAGTAGTATTCCCAACCATTTTAAGAGATGGCCAATGTGTTAAATTTTTCAGAAATAAGAACTTTTTGTGAGAATATTATGTTTACAAGTTTGTTACTCTTCTGTTGATTTGCTTTTTTTCGAGGTCCAAATAAACATGGTCAAAAGAAGGCAGTTTGCCACTGGCCAACGCCCATAGGTTAGGCTGGCAATCAGATTTTGATTCTCTAGGGAGATATGACGGGGGAAGGTTTGCTGTTCTTTGACTGAAGACAATGTTTGATAGCTGCATGAAAAGTCTGGATTTCAGAATATTTTCACCTCAATATCTGCTTGGAAAAAGGTGGTTCTAAGGAAAGTGAAGTAACAGTGGTGCTTCGCCATGATTATTTAATATGCTGACGTGGCACTATTGGTAGTAAAGTATATCATTGATATCAATGTTATTCAAATAGCCAGATTCAGACAATTAACTCCACCATTTTCGTAAGACCGATCCTTGGTTGTTTGTCACACGCCATTGCGGATCAGCTACAGAAGGAAGCAGACACACCCTGCAAGAACAACAACAACAATCTGTGCCCGAGTCTCTGTCAAAAAAAGTGTCAACTGAAGCTATTCTGACCTATTTAAAAGGTATGTGACTGTGAGTGAATAAATAATTAAGGTAAAATGCCTTGTAGGCAGTTTACCACTGGCCCACGCCCATAGGTATGGCTGGCAATCAGATTTTGATTCTCTAACGAGATATGGCGGGGGAAGTTTTGCTGTTTTACTGAACACAATCATGTAGATAGCTGTCAGAAAAGTCAGGACGTCGGAAAATATCTCCAATTTACATCTTAATATCTGCTTGTAAAAATTGTTCTAACGGGGGTAATATGGGTGCTGCGCCATTATTGTTTTATTTATATTGTTTTATTCATATTTATATTCATATTGTATTTTGGAGACGTGGCGCTACTGGCAAAATTTCCTGCGAAATCAGGAACTACAGATAAACCATCAAGACTTTGCCAAGCCGCAGTCTGTTTAAAATGCTTTAACGCTTGATGTTACGACCAGTTTGCCAACACAAGGCTTTTAAAAATGAACACGGCAACACATCGTATCGGTCTACACTTGCCAGGAGATTTTTTACAATTGCATTATTCAGTAGAGTGCACTAAGGAACTCAGTCCTATAATAGCTATTTTAATGAAATTTTAGAAGTAGTATTCCCAACCATTTTAAGAGATGGCCAATGTGTTAAATGTTTCAGAAATAAGAACTTTTTGTGAGAATATTATGTTTACAATTTTGTTACTCTTCTGTTGATTTGCTTTTTTTCGAGGTCCAAATAAACATGGTCAAAAGAAGGCAGTTTGCCACTGGCCCACGCCCATAGGTTAGGCTGGCAATCAGATTTTGATTCTCTAGGGAGATATGACGGGGGAAGGTTTGCTGTTCTTTGACTAATGACAATGTTTAATAGCTGCATGAAAAGTCTGGATTTCATAATATTTTCACCTCAATATCTGTTTGGAAAAAGGTGGTTCTAAGGAAAGTGAAGTAACAGTGGTGCTTCGCCATGATTATTTAATATGCTGACGTGGCACTATTGGTAGTAAAGTATATCATTGATATTAATGATATTCAAATAGCCAGCTTCAGACAATTAACACCATTTGCGTAAGACCGATCCTGGGTTGTTTGTCACACGTCATTTCGGATCAGCTACAGAAGAAGGCTGACACACCCTGCAAGAACAACAGCAACCTGTGCCCGAGTCTCTGTCAAAAAAAAGTGTCAACTGAAGCTATTCTGACCTATTTAAAAGGTATGTGACTGTGAGTGAATAAATAATTAAGGTAAAATGCCTTGTATACAGTTTACCACTGGCCCACGCCCATAGGTAAGGCTGTCAATCAGATTTTGATTCTCTAAGGAAATATGATGGGGGAAGGTTTGCTGTTTTTACTGAAGACAATCAGATAGATAGCTGTCAGAAAAGTCAACACATCAAAAATATTTAATAATTTCCATCTTAATATCTGCTTGGGAAAATGTTAGTTCTAGCGAAGGTAATATGGGCGCTGCGCCATGATTGTTTCATTTATATTGCTTTATTCATATTTATATTCATATTGTATTTTGGAGAAGTGGCATTACTAGCAAAATTTCCTGTGAAATCAGGAACTACAGATAAACCATCATGACTTTGCCAAGCCACAGTTTGTTTAAAATGTTTTTAACGCTTGATGTTACGACCATTTTGCCAACACAAGGCTTTCCAAAATGATCACGGAAACTCATCTTATCGGTCTACACTTGCCAGGAGGTTTTTTTTACAATTGCATTATTCAGTAGAGTAAACGTAACTAAGAAACGTAGTCCTATAATTGCCAGTTTTACTGATTTCTTTTAGAGATAAGAACGTTTTGTAAGAAAAGTCTAGAATTTTGTTGCTCGTTTGTTGATTCCTTTTTGGGAGGTCCAAACAGGGTCAGAAGAAGAAGCACACGGTACATACTATTCATATACAAGCAGCAAGTCTCAGACAATTAACAGGTACATACAATAACAACTGGAAACAGGGGCCCCTCCGGGTAGTTTACGGGCTGTTTTCTGTAATTTCGGGCGTGGCTGTCAGAGTCCTTTATGTGACGGACGGGGGCGGCAGATTTTTCATTACCGGGAGTTATCATCAACACGGGTCCCAGCGACAAATCTAAAATACGCTGTACTCTAATGGTGATATATGTATTATATCTTTGCAGGGATTCGAACCCAGAACCTTCAGATTCTAAGTCAACCCAAAGCCTAACCCCAAAGGCATCTTGTCACTCTCTCAATCCCACATATATACTTAGCAGAAAACAAGGGGCATGCAAAACAAAGTCACACTGGACACCTAGAGATGTTCTAAAATCATTGATTTTCTAAGGCCACTCCAACCTAATTTTTTGTTCTATGACATTTTAGAGGAATTTATGATTTACCAAGAGGGCAAACCAAAGTCATGAGAAGACAATTGGAGTGTAACAAAATTTTTCTCTTGTACAAACCAAGATTTTATCCTGGGACCTTATGTTTATATTCAAGTTATCATTTTTACTTTAAAATTCGAGGTCCAACATAAAGTTGGAGTGGCCTTACTGAGGAGCTTGCCGTTCTGTTTAGGTGGCAGGACACCATGGGGAGAAAGCTGCGACACGTGCTGATTTTCCTTCTCATCATCCTGAAGGAGCCCAACATGCCAGAGGCTGCTTGCAGATCTAGATGTACATCACCAATCTGCAGATGCAAGAGAATGGGCCTCACCAGCATCCCTCAGAACCTCCCAGCATCCATCTCTGAGTTAGACGTAGAAAGAAACCGTATTAAAACTGTAAAAAAGTCTCAGCTATTACGGTATAAGAATTTGTCTAAGTTGCATCTGAATAAAAACGAGATAACTACCATCCCTTCGGGTACATTTGCTAATCTGCCCGAGCTACAAAAGTTGGAACTGCGCAGCAACCAGATAACTGCCATCGATTCTGGTGCATTTGCAAATCTGCCAAAGCTACAAGTGTTGGACATGTACAACAACAAGATAACTATAATCCATTCTGGTGCATTTGCTAATCTGCCCGAGCTACAATGCTTGAAGCTGCACTACAACCACATAACTTCCATCTATCTCGGTGCCTTTTCAAATCTGCTCGAGCTGCAATGCTTGGACCTGTCCATGAACCAGTTAAAATTCATCCCTTCTGGTGCCTTTGCAACGCCCAAGCTGCAAGAGTTGCGGCTGTCCATCAACAAGATAACTACCATCCCTTCTGGTGCATTTGCAAATGTGCCCAAGCTGCAAAAGTTGCACCTGTACTACAACCAGATAACTACCATCCATTCAGGTGCATTTGAAAATCTGCCCCAGCTACAATCGTTGTGGCTGAACAACAACCAGATAACTACCATCCCTTTTGGAGCACTTGCAAATCTGCCCGGGCTACAAGAGTTGGACCTGGAGAACAACCAGATAACTACCACCCATTCTGGTGCATTTGGAAATCTGCCCAAGCTACCCAAGCTACAAACCTTGTTACTGCACGACAACCAGATAACTACCATCCCTTTTGTAGCACTTGCAAATCTGCCCGAGTTGCAATACTTGTACCTGGATAACAACCAGATAACTACCACCCATTCTGTTGCATTTGGAAATCTGCCCCAGCTACAAGAGTTGCACCTGCACTACAACCAGTTAGAATTCATCCCTTCTGGTGCATTTGCTAATCTGCCCAAGCTAGAAACGTTGTGGCTGCACCACAACCAGATAACTAACATCCCTTCTGGTACATTTGCAAATCTAGTATGGTTGTTCCTGAACAACAACCAGATAACTACCATCCATTCTGGCGCATTTGCAAATCTGCCCAAGCTACAAGAGTTTGACCTGTCAAGCAACCAGATAACTACCATCCCTTCTGGCACATTTGCAAATCTACCCCGGCTAAAACGGTTGTACCTGAGCAACAACCAGATAACTACCATCCATTCTGGTGCATTTGAAAATCTGCCAGATTTACATTGTTTGGACCTTTCGAACAACAAGATGACGGTCATTTCCCTGTCAGTTTTCTGCTTGTCCCCATTTCCTGACGAAATAGAACTTGACGAGAACCCCTGGCAGTGTGACTGTAGGATGATTCCCATCAAACTAAATCCTGCATTTAATTACCAGATAGAATGTGCCCAACCCGCCAGACTTCTGAGACGCAAGCTTGAAAATGTCGATCCAAAAGAATTGACATGTAAAAAGCCAATCACATCACCACTAACTGTTGATAGCTGTTCTGCTGCAGTGTCAACACCTTCAATCGGTAGCACAGAAAGCAATACTAGCCCATCAGTCTTTAAAACCGCCGCTGGCTCAACAGCAAACCCCGCAGAAAACACAAGCAAAAAAAGAGCAACGCTAACTTCGCCCTGTGAAATCACTGCTCCCAGTTCCCCCCAGCCGACCGCTGATATCCACTTAATGTCACACAACTCTCAGTATCACTGGTGCTTCAATGTTGCCCCAATGTCAGACCCCGCAGGTAAAACAAGAGCAACACTAACTTCGCCCCTTGCAATCACTTCAGAGAAGCCAGAATCTGTTCCCAGTTTCCCAATACCTGTTATCATAGGCTCAGTCTGTGGTTCAGTAGCTGGAAATGTCCTGATTAGCGCCATCATTTTTACAGTGTGGTGCAAGATAAAGAGCAGGCGTCCTTCTTCAGGGTTAAATCCCAATGTTGTTGTTGGAAACACAAACACGGCAGTTTCTGTATTGGCTATTGCTGAGGATAACCCGTATGAGGATGTTGACAAGGCAGAGCAGGGCCAGGCTAACATTCAATCTCTGAACGTTGGAAATCTATCCCATAACCAAGTGCTAGCTGCCTTAAGACCAAATCCTATGTATGCAGGTAACGCAGCAGTTTCTGTAGTGGCCAGTGGTGACGATCACGAATACGAAGACGTTGATAAACCCCGTGTTAAGACAGGGCAGAGTCAGTCTCAGGCTATCCCTGAATCCAACACAAACACCACAGCTACTGTCATGGCCAGTGGTGATAATCACGAATACGAAGATGTTGATAAACCCCGTGTTAAGACAGGGCAGAGTCAGTCTCAGGCTATCCCTGAATCCAACACAAACACCACAGCTACTGTAATGGCCTGTGGTCATGATCACCAGTATGAGGATGTTGATAAACCCCGTGTTAAAACAGGGCAGGGTCAGTCTCAGGCTATCACTGAGTCTAACACAAACACCACAGCTACTGATATGACTAGTGGCCATGGCCTGACAGGACAGAGTCAGTATCAGCCCCTAATCAAAGCCAACACAAACACCACATCTGTCGTAATGACCAATCAGGCAGGGCAGGGTCAGTCTCAGACCAACACTGAAACCTTGGATGCTAGAAATCTATCTTATGGCACAGAGCCGACTGCCTCGCAGATAAATTCTCTGTACACCACAGCTACGTATACTGAAATGGCCAGGGATCAGGATCTGACAGGACAGGGTCAGTCTCAGACCAACACTGAATCCAACACAAACTCCACAGCTACGTATACTGAAATGGCCAGGGATCAGGATCTGACAGGACAGGGTCAGTCTCAGACCAACACTGAATCCAACACAAACACCACAGCTACTGCAATGACCAGTGGTGATGATCAGACAGGACAGGGTCAGTCTCAGGCCAACACTGAATCCAACACAAACACCACAGCTACTGTAATGACCAGTGGTCAAGATAATATACATGTAGGGCAGGCTAACGCTCAATTCCCCACAGTTCCAAATCTGTCACGTAACGAAGTGCTAGCTGCCTTACAGCCAAATCCTATGTATGTAGATTCCAAAACACCAACAAAGGACGAAGCATCTACAGAAAAGATCAGTGGTCATGATCAGACAGGGCAGGATCAGTCAGGAGCTAATATTCAATCTCTGAAAGTGGGGGATTTATCATATAACGAAGTGCTAGCTGCCTTACAGCCAAACACTATGTATGTAGAATCTGATATAAAAACACCATCAAAGACCCCAACATGTACAGAAATGGCCAGTGGTCATGATCAGACAGGGCAGGATCAGTCAGGAGCCAATATTCAATCTCTGAAAGTGGGGAATCTATCATATAACGAAGTGCTAGCTGCCTTACAGCCAAACACTATGTATGTAGAAACTGATGTAAAAACACCATCAAAGAACCCAACATGTACAGAAATGACCAGTGGTCATGATCAGGCAGGGCAGGGCCACTCTTAGGCTTATGTTTAATCTCATCTGGTCTGGAAAAAATTTAAAGTAAAGTTTCATTTTAATGGCATCAATGCTGAGGTTTTCATTTTGAATTACTGTATTGTAACAACTGTGATAATAACTATTTCAGAATGTGTATCTTTTTATTATTGCCGGTGTGATGGTTGTATTCTGCAATGTTTAATTTGAATACTTGTTCAAACTTTGATTCTTTGATTGATTGCCCTACCAAGAACAGAGAAAGGGTGTTTTGTCATTCTGTGTAAAGTATACAACGTAAAATCTTGGACGATCTCAGAATGGAAGTCTAGTAGCAGAGCAATGTACAAAAAAAGTATAAAGGAGATTACGTTTCATTCTAAATGCACCGATGCTGTGTCTTATTCAAAATTAGCTGTGGTTTTCAGTTTGAATTTGAAGTAATTATTGATGATGTTAACGTTGTATTTTTCAAAGTTTAACTTTAATAGCTGTTCCAACTGAAATGGTTGCCCTACCAAGAACAGGGAAAGAGTGTTTTTTTTTTAAATTGTCATTCTGTGTAAAATATACAATGTAAAATCTGGACGATGTTAGTCTGGAACTCTAGTAGCAGAGCAAAGTACTACAGAAAGTATAAAAGATGTAAAGTTTTATTTTAAAGGCATCAATGCTGAATCTGAGACGATCTAACTCTGAAACTCTAGTAGCAGAGCAATGCACTGTACAAAACATTTTAAATGCATCAAAATATCTGCTATAGTTTTTTTTTTTACTTTGAAGTTGTAGTATTGTAACAATTGTGGTTATAACTATTTCAGACTCTGTAACTTTTTATCATATGATTGATGGTGTCATGATTGTATTTTGCAAAGTTTAATCATATGTTGTTGTTCCAACTTTTAATGATTGCCCTAACATCATGAAAAGAAAAAAAAAGGGAATTTTGTCATTCTGTGTAAATTATACAACGTAAAATCTGGACGATCTCAGTCTGGAACTCTAGTAGCAGAGCAATGTACTGCAGAAAGTATAAAGATGTAAAGTTTCATTTTAAAGGCATCAATGCTGACTCTGTTTAAAAATGAGTTGTAGTTTTTATTTTTAATTTGAATTTTTTAATTATTGTAACAATTGTGGTTATAACTATTTCAGAATCTGTAACTTTTTATTATTGATGATGTCATGATTGTATTTTGCGAAGTTTAATGTTAGTAGTTGTTCCAACTTTTTATGATTGCTCTATCATCATGAAAAGAAGAAGAGAATTTTTTCATTTTGTGTAAAATATACAACGTAAAATCTTGGACGATCTCAGAATGGAGTCTAGTAGCAGAGCAATGTACTACAGAAAGTATAAAAATGTAAAGTTTCATTCTAAAGGCATCAATGCTGACTCTGTTTAAAATGAGTTGTAGCTTTTCATTTTTAATTTGAAGTATTGTGACAATTGTGGTTATAACTATTTCAGAATCTGTAACCTTTTATTATTGATGATGTCACCGTTGTATTTTTCAAAGTTTAACTTTAATAGTTGTTCCAATTGAAATGGTTGCCCTACCAAGAACAGGGAAAGAGTGTTTTGTCATTCTGTGTAAATTATACAGTGTATAATTATGGACGATCTAAGTCTGAAACTCTTAGTAGCAGAGCAATAAGCCACAGAAAGCATAAAAATAATTTCATTTTTATAAGTTCATTTGAAAGGCATCAATGCCAATGAGTCTGTTTCAAAATGAGATGTATTTTTTAATGTTGATTTTGTTGTATTGTAACAATTGTGATTATGACTATGTCAGAATATTCCCCGCCAAGCAATGCAGTGGTTTGAATAAAAGTGCAAAATTCATTGTTTAAACATCAACCCAGCCTTTTGTGTTGACTGCATGGCTCCTTTCATAGCATCTAGTGTTATAGTCGGATGCCTAGACCTGTTTTTATTTTTTCCCCACCCTCGCTACGTATTTTTTAATGAAAAAATCCGAGAACCACACTCTCTCACTCACTGTCCGGTTTATCGTCTGTTGTTCCCCGTCTTCCGAGGGTTAGACGTGGGCTTGATGGCAGCACGCCACTTGTCTCTGTCCTGTGGGTTAATCTTGTCCAAGTTCAGGTGCTGGAGGTCCAGACTTCAGTCTTATCCTACATGTAAGTCATATTTCTAAAGCAATCACTGAGACATTAACACAACAAAAGCACAACTTTGTCACCATTCTTTTAATTTCATTGCATAATAGGAATAATCCAGTCCTACATGTGCATTACTGTAGACAGTCTGTATTACTAATAACTAAAAAAATCAAACTGATTATTGATATTATTGGGAACTTTTTTCAGTTATTTTCCATTCATAAAACAATTTGTTGATTTATGAATAACCTCAAACGGGTGTTACAGAGGTGGAACTCTCACTAGGTTTTTTTCTTTGGCACAGTTTGTTACTGATGTGAGCAGTATTTCTAACCATTGTCAGTTTCTTGTATTTATATTATACTATTATACAGTCACTGCAGAAATTCTTCCATTATATACTTAGCGTGATGCATGAAGTAAAACATGACGAAAAGGTACAAGAATATCTTTGATGAAGAAGATGAAAACTGGTAAAATAACAGAATGTAGCTACACATGAACTGAAAAATCACTCCAAGGCTAAACATCTTATAAGTTAAGAACAAAATGCATAGAAATTCCCTCTCCAAAATTTAACTTTGGTTCATCTGTCTATGAAGACTATGTCACGGTGAAGCCTGGCCTGACCTATCATGTGCACTCTGACCTACAGACGTTCTGACCGATCAAGCGAACTCTGACCTATTCGTATTACATGAACTCTGACCTATCACATGAACTCTGGCCCATCATATGAACTCTTAACTCATCATGTGAACTTTAACCTATCATGTGAACTCTGACCCTTCAGGTGAACTCTGACCCATCACATGACGTTCGAGCCTTCATATGAACTCTGACCCATCACGTGAACTCTGGTCCGTCACGAGCTCTAACCCATCACATGACCTCTGATCCACTGCATTAACTCTGACCCATCACGTGAACTCTGACCCTTCACGTGAACTCTGACCTGTAGACATTCTCCACACACTCCTGACAGGCATCAGTCATCTCCATGACGACCGTATCCAGAACATCCTCCATCAGCTCATCTGCAAGTCTGGTGGGAAAAAATAGATAAAAAAACAGTAAGAAAATGATAAAATAGTGCATTTTTGATGAATCCTTTTCATTAAGAACTCGTTTCATTGCATCATTGGATACTGAACTGTAATCATTATGACAATTATTACTGAGACATAATCAGTTTGTGAAATGTCTGCATGGAAACTCTGCAGTAGAACCTACACAGGAGAGGAAACTCACTAGCTGCGAGATGAGGTGTCTACGAAGAGCAGCAGGGAAGACAAGGAGGGACAGGGTCAGAAACGAAGTCATCAGACAGTTGGTTGGCAACAAACCAGTTCTCCAGTTCATTGCCAGACAAAGGGTTCAGTGGTTTGGCCACCTGATGAGAATGCCGACCACCCAGCCAGCCCTAAGGGCCTACACTGCCAGGCACTCAGGAGTAAGGGCCAGAGGGAGACCGCGCTCCCGATGGATGGATGGAGTAGCAGAGACCCTCAGCGCACACGGCATGACACTCCGGGAGGCCACACACCTGGCAGTGGAACGTCAACTACATCTCCCCGCGACACCCCACCAGGCATAAGCGGAAGGATAAAGTAAGTACTAAGTAGAACCTACTGGTCAACAAGTTTCCAAGGGTTGAACTCTCCGGCGGTTTCGTGGCTGGTTCTGCGCCGGTGTTGGTCGAAGCTTCGCCTGTACGCGCGGAGGTCCTGCATCTGGGCAGCAGGTGTGAACAGCAGGACAGGTGGTGCACCTGCTACAGCTGGCAGATGTCTGGCACCTGGCTGTGCAGCTGTGAATGAATGAATGCGATGATGAAGGTAAGACAACCAGGTAACTAGAGAATGCATAATGCATAATGTTTACCTTCTGACATGATCTGCCCTGTTAATTCTTACTCAAACACATTCACATACATGTACTACTAGCATGTGGTGACAGGAGCGGAGCAGACCATGAAATTGCAACATTTTATGTAACCCAACACCAGTCACCATGGTGACAGACATCAACAAATCATGTCATTGGTCAGGTCAGAGGTCACTTTTTGGAGAAGAAGAAGAAGAAACTGAGCAAAAACAATGTTTTCCTTCAGTAAACATAACAAAGACACACAGGTGTCCCACCTGCTGCACCTGGAACAGCTGTGGAATGTCTCATCACACCTGGCTGTACAGCTGTGGTGTGCAGGGCACCTGACGGGACACTCTCCTGGCGGAATGAGAGCAACTCTAGCGCGTTGTCATGGAAACGACCTTCAGGCGAGCGTGCTGATTGGCTGGAGGGTTTTGGTGCCCACGCCTCTTGACCTGTGATGACATCACAAATAGGACTGAATTTTAGAGAGAGTAAGGACATGCACATGATAAACAATACCATTTAAAACACCTACATACAAAAGTAAGATACTAGTATTTTATTTTGAAAGTCACTTAATTGAAAATGATTAATAAAAAGTTGTTGTTTGACAGATAGATTTATGTATCACATTACTTATAATGTATTAGATCTATGTATGTAAATGATATTAAGTAAATTTTTCTCACAATAGGTCCAGCTCATTTGCATACCTGATCTGTATCTTGTCCATATATGGTCCATCTCATTTGCATACTCGGCCCTGATCCACCTCCTCCGCATGGCCTCCTCCTCCTCCTGGGTAAGAAAGGTCATTTGAAGGTCAACGGTCTCAAATTACCAACCACAAAACACGGGGAGGGAAAACTTGAGGTACATGCTTTTAGTAACTGATGTCAGGCTTTTGTCAGCTAAAAAATAAAACAAAACAAACTAGAGAAGTAACATTTGCAAAGCAAATGCATAATGTTTACCTTCGGACATGGTCTGCCCTGTTAATTCTTACTCAAACACATTCACATACATGTACTACTAGTATATGGTAACAGGAGCAGAGCAGACCATGAAATTGCAACATTGTGTAACCCAACACCAGTCACCATGGTGACAGAAGTCAACAAATCATGTCATTGGCCAGGTCAGAGGTTAGTGTTTGGAACAGAAGAGGAGGAAGAAATTGAGTGAAAACAATATGTTTTCCTTTGGTAAACATAACAAACAAACAAACTGACCTCCACCAGCTGAAGTTTCTGTAGAATGTTGTTCAAGGTCGACATGTCCTGAAGAGCCATGGCCTCCTGTCGGGCTGACCTCTGACCTTCCAACCTCTGCAGTTCCCGAGACGTGTCCTCAATCACTTCTTCGAGGATCCCGTTTCTTAAGGTGGGCAGGTTATCTCCTAGCTCTTTCCTTCTGTCAAAATACTGCCCATCATACCTGGGTTCATTTCTTCTCATTCCAGCATCTTGGAAACCCCTATACACACCCTTCCATTCTCCTCCCCTCTCTCCAGCTTCCTTAAAACCTCCATACACATCCCTATGTTCCAACCGTCCAGCTTCCTCGTAACCCCCATGCACATCCCTGGGTTCCCTTCCTCCAGCATCCCGGTAACCCCCATGTACACCCTCCATGTCCAGGCTCCTTCTAGCCCCCAAGGAGGCCCTAAGACGACTTGAGGCACCTTCAGGTACTTCTTGGCACGTCTTCTCTATGTCTGGGTTTTCGTACATGACCCTTAAGTCTACATTCCTTCTAAAGTCTGGAGAATGTCTTGAACGGTTGTCTTCAGGATTTCTGTGCGTCTCCAAGAAGTCCAGGTTCCTTCCGGCATCTTGAGACGTTGTTGGACGTCTGGAAGGATCGGATATTTCTTCCCTTCTTCTCCGGTAAGGTTCTCGATACTCCAGACTTCTCCTTGCACCTGACATCAGCCTGGGGCTCTTGTGGGGGTTGAGGGGACTCCCTTTGGGCGATAATGATTGTTCTCTGTACCTGTCAAAAAACAAAAAGAATTGTAAGTTGCATTGTAATTCTAATGTTTTGTTCTGCAGTAGTGCTAAAAAACTGACTGAAAACTGACCAACCGAAAACTGACCAACCTGATTTGTTAGAAGACCGACTAACCTGATTGGCTAGAAAACCGACTGACCTGATTGGTTAAAAACTGACCGACCTGATTGGTTAGGAAACCAGCTAACCTGATTGGTTGGGAAAATCCACTGACCTGATTGGCCAGAAAACCGACTGCCCTGATTGGTTAGAAAACCGACCAACCTGATTGGTTAGAAAATCGACCAACCTGATTGGTTAGAAAACTGACCAACCTGATTGGCTGTGGAAGAGGGCTGGATGGGGGTGTCCTGTTCTCCTTGCCCATATATGGTAGTGGTGGTTTCACCTTTGCCAAGGACGCGAGCGTATGCTCTCCTATAGGAGAGTTGGGCGGCCGCCGGGGCGTCCTCTGTTTACAAACAAACAATGACATAAATAAACCACAATTTTTACTGGCTTTCACAGGATGGCTGAGCAGGGACAATGTACATGGTATTGACTGCTAAAATTCAGCAAGAATGATCCAGGGTTAGGATCAGGCAGTTTTGTTTACAATGTACATGGTATGGTATGAGGCACAGTTTTGGATAGTCTCTGTGTATCTGTAACATACATTTGGATACGCGGGGACTATCCAGAACCGTGCCTAGACACTGTTCATTCTGGATAAAGGACTGAGTTCTGGATCAAGCACAGTTCTTGATAAAGCACAATTCTGGATAAGGTACAAATGTACAGTTCTGGATAAAGCACGGTTCTGGATAAGGTACAGTTCTGCATAAAGCACCTGTGTCAGTTCTGGATAAAGCACGGTTCTGGATAAAGCATGGTTCTGGATGAAACACAGTTCTGGATAATGGATAAAGGACAATTGTAGATATTTAAGCTGGTTCTGGATAAAGCACACAGTTCTGGATAAAGCACGGTTCTGGAAGCAACCGTACCCTTGACTTTGGAGATCCCACGATTCCCGTCCGTTTGGTAGGATATCCAAGACGTGGTCCCTTTGCAGGTCTCCTGGCACTGGTCCTCCTTAAGGAAGCGATACCTGCACGGAGAATGTCTTCTCTCTCTGGGTCACCTGGACAAACACAGGGGAGAGATTGTACATAAGGATCACCTGGACAAACACATTGGTTCGAGAGATTGAAATGCACAGGCGTATGTACAAGTTTTGATGAGAACAAAGTAAAAAAAAATTCCAAACACATAACAAAAACAGAAACAAGCTTAACTGCAGGGAAAAAAGCCAGTTCAGGATTCAAAAGAAAGTCAGAGGAAACTGATATGTTAAACTACAGCTTTTCTCACATGGTGAAGATAGACAAGAAAATACTAGTAGTTAAGCAACATCTAACAGTACTGACCGTTTCCACAATCATATTCAGTTGCTTGTGTAACTGTTTTTTGGCATATCTTAGTATTCTTACAGATTCGGAAGTAGTTTTCGAAATCCATCCAGTTGAATGGCTGTTTTTCTCATATATTGAGCACATATCTTACAGATTCATCAGACATTGTTAGTGTGACCACAGAAAAGTTTCTGTGTATAAAAAAACGAACCTTCAGCCTTCTCCTGGTGCAGAAGTTGTGAAATGTCGTCCTCAAGTCGGTGGGCCGGCCGCAGTTTGGGACCTGGTCTGTCCTTCCAGACTGGCCGTCTTGGTCTTGTCTTGACCTTTGTATGACCTTCAGGTGCCCTCTTGTGTGCTGGGAGTTCTGTCCGAGGCTTCAGCTACAGCAAAAAAGAAAAAAAAAATCATAAAAACAGCAGAATAAGAATGTTGAAGAATCTATCATACTACTAGGGAATTTTCATTCCCCACAAATTGGACACACTCAGACTCTACATATACTACTTTGTCTATCCAAACTTGGTGGCAATGTGGTATTAAGTTCTGGGTTACTGACTCAGAATCTAAGTTCTGGGTTCAGATCCCTGGGAAGGCCCACTGTTGTGCCCTTGGGAAAGGCATTTTATGCCTATTCCCTCCCTCAACTCACTGAAGATTAAAAATGCGGGGCAATGATGTAAAACATGTTACTAAGATCCTGTAACACTTATCAGAGTAATTAAGGAGGAGTCCTTCCCAGTATGAGTGGATCCAATATTATTATCTTATTACAGTCCAGTCTTGTATAGCTTTCAATACAAAACTGTTGCAGGCGGTTTATCAAAGAAGCAAAACAAACAAAGGATCACCTGTGCCCTCCCCAGCAGGTGCAGTAGATTTTCCGCAGACGTGACCTCGGATGACCCCACCTGAAGCTGTGCTGACAGCTGCGACAGCTGCTTGATCACATGACCAAGGTCCTAGGGGAGAAAACCAAAAAAATGAGCACATCGGCTGAACGTACTGCACCTGTGTGAAACCTATAATACATTATGCATAGCATTTCAGCAGATCGTCTCATATAAGGTCATTTTTGCACAAATAAGGTTAATATCCTGTCTGTACATGTAGTAGCCTGGGTTCCAGACCCATAGCACACTGGACACAAATATCTCAGTGAGCCTGGGTCTGGTAGGGTCAGATAGACCTGCCACTCGAACGCTCAGTATCTGAGCGTAAGGCCCCATTGGTGGCACAGCAGGAAGCAATTTTACACCTCTGCTATGATTGGTTAAAGAGTCCCAGCTGGATCTTTGAATCTTCACCAGCAGATGAGATAAAACTGTAGATAAGGTGTATTTTGTCCTAATGTGTTAGAGGACTGTTACCTAAACAAACAGGAAAGCCTGGGTTGTACACTACTTCTACTGTTAAATTAAGTTTTGCTGTTATTTTGGAAAATAAACTCCAAATACATCTAGAAAGTTGACTGGTTAATGATTAACTGTTGAGCCCAAGATTGTCTCCTACCGACCAATGGTGATACCATGTAACAGGCTACCTGTGGTGTGAGGGGTCATCAATCACAGCTTCTCCTCCCTATGCTCGAGAGCCTTTCCTAAGAGACCCTGCCAGACCCTTGCACACTGAGATATTTTGTGTCCAGTGTGCTTTGGGTCTGGCATCCAGGCTATACATGTAGTAACAGTTTCTAAAAGTTGTGTCTGAAAAAATATTGTTTGCAACAGGCTAAATTGTGATGCAACGTTGACCATATATTCAACGGAAATCTTGAAAAATCTGGGATTTGCTCCAGACTGGTTTTGCGCAGGCGCAGTACGTTCTGCTGACGTGCTATAACATGTATGTCAGACTCTGCTGTATCCAGAACCGTGCCTGGGGCAAACCTACGTTCCTGGATACACAGAGACTATCCAGAACCGTGCCTGTTCTGGGTACAATAGAGACTATCCAGAACTGTGCCTGATCTTATCCCATTCAGGCATAGAACTACGTGACTGAATATTACTAAATTGTGCTTTTACACAATAAAGAAATCCTCACTGAAGTTCATAACAAACAAACAAACAAACAAACAAACAAACAAACAAACAGACATACCTGGTGCACAGGTGGCAGCCCCCCTCCCCCGCTATACTGATCAGGTAACTGTTGGACAAACACCTGAAGAACTTTCACTTTCACAAACAAACAAACAAACAAACAAACGTACCTGGTAGACAGGTGGCAGCCCCCCTCCCCCACTGTACTGATCAGGTAACTGTTGTATGAACACCTGAAGAACTTTCACTGCTGCTCGGTGCGCTGAGCCAAGTTTCTTCAACAACTGGGTCTAGACCAAAAGTGAAAGTGTGTTTGTCAGCTCAAGAAGATTAGCTTTAACTTGAAACAAAGTCTGTTGTGATACTTGCTACAAATATACTTAGTCTAGATGTTTTACTTATGCAATATTTTACCTCTGCAGAAATAATGACAAGAGAAATCCAAAAATTACTACGTTTAACTTAATAATGTCAGTATTACTTTCAATTTACTCTTCAAGACTAAAAGACCTGAAATCTCGATTAAAAAAAAACTGTATACAGTTGACAATTTGACGTTTTATGAAAAGACAAACCTTTCTGGCTTTCTTAGTTTTCTCGCTGGCTGGTCGGCTCAGCTCCTGCTGAACCTCTGCGATCTGGAAAAGAAAAAAAAACACGGTGTCATACTCATAGGTAGTTCAAACGGTATTTAAACCTCCTATATAGAAAATTGTGTATCAAAGTAGAGTATTAAAAAAGTATATGCCACAGTAGGTTGGGATTACATTGTATGTAATCCCAACCTATATATCCCACAGCTGCAAAGTTATTTTGATGAAACAAACAAACAAACAAACAAACACGCCACACCTGATGCAGCAGAGTGTAGACCATCCTCCCAGCCCTGGTCAGTTGTTCCTGTCATCCGACCTCCATGGAAACACAAACAAACAAACAAACAAACAAACAAACAAACAAACATCCCTCCCACCTGATGCTGAAGTGTGTAGACCATCCTCCCTGCCCTGGTCAGTTGTTCTTGCCGTCTGACCTCTGTTCGAGGGTCATCCTCTGTGTCAGAAATTTTCTCCACACTGCCGCGTCGTTTTCGTTTGGACGGACTCAGAACCTGACCTGGGGTCGGGGAATTTGATACGGGGTGTCAGGTTTCATATGTGGGCACTACTTAACAATTAGTGTGCAGTACTAGGAATTAATTCCAAGATTTACATAATTAATTAACTTGACAGGAACTTTCTTAAAAAACACGTGATGTTTAAAAATATCTAAACTACTCATACAGTCAACAATCATGCATAGTTACTAGCTGAAATGACAATAGATATACTAAGTAAGACAGTTAAATTTGATCTTAAAATAAAATCATTTGTTGTTATTTCATGAATAAACAAACAAACAAACAAACACACCTTGTCTCAGGTGCCCCTCCAGTTCCCTGATGTACCTCTGTAGTTCCCTCTGGAGTTTCCCCACCTGTGATTGGACAAGTACATCAATTATTACTTTCATATTCAGACATATTATTTCTATTATTTGACCTCTAGCATCCAATGCACTTTTATTTCACTATGATGTTGATTTTGTTTCAAGTTTGTCATAATTTCAGCATAATTTTCTGTTTTATTTATTATCATTATTGCTAAAAGTAATTATTGTTATTGTTATGTCATTTTATGTTGCTGGACTCCAGTAAAAATAGTATGGAATTTACAATACTAATAGAGATCTCAACAAACAAACAAACAAACACCCACAGATTCAGTTACTTACGTTCCTTAGTGTCCCCTCCTTCAGTTACCCTTGTTTTTATTTGTACCGGTCACTTGTTATGTGTGTGTAAGTAACACATTTACAGCTGCTAGTATTCCAATGCAAATTGGGCTCAGCAGTACATAAGAAGAAGAAGAAGAAGAAACAAACAAACAAACAAACAAACCTGTCGCGCCTGCCTGTCTCCAGGTGATCCAGGTGTTACCACAGGTGAGTCTGAAGCCAGTCTAAGAACCAGGCCAGGTGAGGCTGGGATGTCTTGGCGTCTCTGCTTGTGTGGTGACACTTCTACTAACTTCTCAGATGTTGCTTTTCTCGAAGTCTTCTTCGATTTTCTTTCTTGTGTAACTTCCCTGTTTCTTTCCTGTTGTTGAGTTCTGATCCGCTCTACTTGTCTTTCTTGTGTGACATCAACGCTATTTTCTTGTTCGCTGTCTTGCCTTGAAACTGAGTCTGTTGCAGCTACGTCAGCCATGGTGAGCACTTGGTCGTTTCTACGCCGTTTTGCGTTGGAAACGTCCCTTTTCGCGAGAAATAAGGCTTGGGAAAGCTTGTCTTGGGAAAGCAGAGAGATCTGTCTGATTGAAGCGGGGCTGTTTTCGTTTCTGTTTGTTGGCGAAGTGCCGAGTTTCTCAACCACAACTGCTGAAGGTTTTCGGTACCTTTGTGATAAATGGAATATAGTTTTGATAATGATAGATGATTAATGTATATACACCAGGGTACAAAAATCTGAAACTTCATTATAATGTTTTCATACATACTAGAACTTAGAAGGCAGCCTGGTTACCAAACCTATTATAGCTCCCGAGTCCTACATCCTCTCCGCAAATAGCGAGGATGTAGGACTCGGGAGCTATAATAGGTTTGGTAACCAGGCTACTTAGAAGGAGCATGGATATGTTTTTTAGCGAAATTATAATTCAGACATCTTACGACTTACTAGCATCTTACAATTTTTGCTTTCTACTAGTGGTTCTACTATTACTAGTACTTAGTACTACCATGGAGGTAGAAATCTCTTTTTTCTACCTCCATGGTACTACTAGTACTACTGTTCTTTCTACTACTACTACTGCTACTACTTCAATGACTATTACTCTTACTGCTACTACAGTACTACTACAACTACTTCTACTTACTGCTACTACTATAATATTCTTTCTACTTCTACTTAGTACTAAACTACTACTACTTAAACTTCTACTACTACAGTAACTACTAGTAGTAGTACTACTACTACTACTAACCGTTTGGTGAGGCTGTCTGCTGCGGCGGCCATGTTGACATTGAAGGCCAGCTGGTTCTGTTTCTGAAGAGCAAAAGGTCGGCTGGTATGGCTGCTGTTCGGCGGACGGTTGCCAGGGTAACGCGGCACGTTACCATGGTAACGGAGCATGCCATTGCTGCCGGGGGGAAGCTGGAATTCCAGCTGGGTTTTACCGCTCATAACACTGGTCATGATGAGGCCTAGGGGAAAATTTACAAGAACTAAGAATCATAAGAAAAGAGGTGCTTAATATGCTGCTTTATGCATTTATATGGCCCAAAAATAACACAAATCTTACCTGCACTAGTTGGTGATAATAAAACATACGTGATACGGAAAAAGAGCGAGGAGAAAACAAAATTTGTCCGTCAAAACAGCTCTGTTTTTTTCGAAGCGTCCGCCATTTTCAAATATGCTGGTCTCCTACCGGAGTACCTTGGTGGTCTCGCACCCAGTGGACTAGCCCATTTCGGACGCCTTATTTCTAAGATACCAGGAGAAAAGACTCTAAAATCTATATGAATTTTTCTATCTACAACTTTCATATTTTATAAAAGAACTCCATAGTGTGTAAATTTTATTGATATTAACGAGATAGAATTGATACATTTCTTTTTTTCCTTTGAGACTGAGAATGGTATGGTCCATAGCCAAGATGGCTGCGCCCGGCAGCTTTCAGGACGTTGCTGACGGTTTTCAACTTGTATCGTCCAAAAAAAGAAGAAAACGGCGGGAAAATCGGCATAAACAGACGACAGGGTACCTAGGACACTCACAGGAGAACGGAGAAGATGATAACATAGACCTGAACAAGCTGGAAACCAAGATACTAGCTGCCAAGTAAGTGATGTATGTTGTGTTTACCACCTTGTGTTTGCAAACAAACTGTTATTTGAAACGGTCTCAACAACAACGTTATTTGAAACTCGAATAAATCGTACTTTGCACTTTCGTATGAAAGAGTTTGTCTTTAAAGTTAAAACTTTTGATCCAACGCAAACCTAGAGCTTTCGACCAGTCACTCTACTGGTCTGGTCTTCCTCAGTAGACTGACCCAGTGAGACTTGTCATGTGGCTTCTTCTACTAACTAGTATGAAAGAGTTTGTAACTGTAAATGTGTCTGTTTTTACAGAGAGGAGTTGAGATGTTCAGAGTTCTTTTCTACAGTACAAGGTAAGTTATATAGAATTTCTTATAATTTTATTATAACTTCAACCAAGAATGTTCAATTCAAGTTCTTCTATCATTGCATTTCTGCACACAACACAATGCAAAATAATCTTTTTTTCTACAGAAATTTTCAGACATGTAAAAAGTGGAGACTGGGAAAAACTCTGTGTTCCTGACACACAGGGCAGCCCTAGCACCAGCTGTCAGTGTAATGGACTAAGAAGGACCCCTAGCACCTGTCATCAGTACTGCAGTGACTGTGGAACACTAGCAGACGATCTGCAGACTGAATTTGAAGCTGTTGTCTGTTATGGGCTGGGCAGATTCTCCTGTTGTGTGACAGCAAGATACCAGCTGGCGTTCCTATTGCTACTCAGAGATGTGCTAGATGTGAGTATTGTAGGATGGATGGACGGACAGACAGAGATGTTTATCAGATGTTACCAAAAATAGAATACTGTAGTTGGTTTCTAATTCAACTCGAAAGTCATACTCATAGCAGGCCTCAAAATTAACTTTCCTTCCCAGCACTGTACCAAAAATGTCATTCATGGGACTTTTCCAGACGCAAAAGCCGTGACATGTGCCTGATAAATATTTAAGTAGATGTTGATGTTGATTTTTTTTTTCCTACATGTATGACAGCTATACCAGCTATACAGTGCAGAATACAATGTAATTTCCCACCTTGTCCACAGGTTCCCAGTTCCTGCCATGTCTATGATCCAGTCTTTTCATCCTGTGAAAAACTGCTGCTACAAAAACTGGGATGTCAACTTATCCTGGAGAACGAGGTAATAATGATTATTAATGATATTATAATAATATACATTTTGTAGCACATCGGCAGAACGTACTGCGCCTACGCAAAACCCCCATTTTTTCACGGTTTTCGTTGGATTTTTGGTCAACTTTGCATTAGAATTTTGCCTGTTGCAGACAATATTTTTTCAGACGTAACATTTAGAAACTACAGACGGGAGTTTAACCTTATATGTGCGAATACGACCTTATATGAGACATTCTGTCAAAGTGCTGTGTACAAAACTCTGACAGCATCTGGTCTAGGCAGTCTGGGTGCTAATGCTGATTGAGAGCTGACATAGAAACAAAAACGTTGTGTTTTGCAGGAAGGAAAGAGACAGGTAGACAGCAGAACCCTTTTCTACATGCCCCACTGTGGGAAGCCTCTGTACAACAACCTGCTGTGGGCAAACTGGGGACAACAGCTGCATAACGTGGTTATACTGGGGAACAGTCTGTCCAACATGGCACTCAGGTAAGTACAGCAAGTTTGTGGGCAAACTGGGGACAACAGCTCCGTAACCTGGTTATTCTGGGGAACAGTCTGTCCAACATGGCACTCAGGTTAGCCAGTGTTACATGAGAACTTCATTGACACAACAAAAGTACAGCAAAACTACATGTAGACAGACAGACAGATACAACAAAATTAACCTGCATGCAAGACAATATATGTATCAACTTACACTACTTGTTCTAAGGTCTGAACATTCTTTGATATACTTAACTTTGGGAACAGTCTCTCCAATGTTTATATATACATGTATGTTCTTGAATTGTTGTGCCATTTTTTGCTTCCAGGTGTCCAAGCCAGGAGTTGGAGAAAGCTGCATTCTACATACACAGTGTATCCTACTCATGGTTTCTCATATACTGATACATAAGTGATATTTTAAGTCTTTTTTTTTTTCATAAAAAAATGGGGTGATTTTGCTAATGCAGTGGTTTTTGCTCAGTTTCCTCTTCATCTTCTTCTCCAAATACTAACCTCTGACCTGGCCAATGATCTGATTTGTTAACTAGTAACTGGTGTTGGATTACATGTACATCATGTTGCAATTTTATAGCAGGAGGGATTTAGACTCCTGTCACTTTGTGTCAGCATATATGTGTTTGAATGAATGTATTTGAGTAAGAACTAACAGAGCAGACCATATGCGAAGGTCAACATTATGCATTTGCTTTGAAAATCTTCCTAGTTTTACTTTCAGATCGCAAAAGAGTACTCCTTAACGTCAGGTGCCAGATCTTAGACCACACCAAGGAGTTCCCCCTGCCGAACAACTTTCACTTTCAGGACATCTTCAACGACTTGTCCCTCCACGTGTTTCCCGCGTCTGACATTCCACCATCACTATGGCAACAGACTACGGAACCCGTCTATGACCTTGACTGGCAGGAAGAGATAATTACCAACTGTGACAAGTCATGATGTCTCCTACCGGAGTTTGTTTTTAGTAAAGGCCAGGGAAATTTTCAGTAATATATTAAAAACATCTTGTCAATTCTGTATAGAAATGTGTGTCATTTGTTTGCCATATTCTTCAATGAGTAAACAGATTATGAATTGATATACAAGAAAATGGACTGATCGAGATCGTGTAGACAGTATTTTTGGGGGTAAAGTGAAAATCATGGGTGTAGGAATATGGATAGCAATATCCAGTGTGGGTCTCTATTCCACAGAGGGGGTGTGATCTTGTGTGTACTCATTTTCTTTATCAGTATTGCATCTTTCGTTACGAGTGCCAAAGACATCCCCCCTTCCACCCCCCAAAAAAATGAACACATCACACATCAGTACAAAGTGTCACCTTTTATTGAGCACGATCTAAACTTCACCAGTCACCACCTACCGGACCAGACAGCAACTTTACATGCCACAAGGCAGACACTCAGCCCACAGGGACCTTAGAGAATAATAATAACCTTTGTCTTTATTATTTTACATCTATCTATCTACACTGTATACCTACAATATCTTCCAACATGGCCAGTAGATGTATTTTTTAAGTACGAGTTTTTTTCCTGCACTGCAAGTTTTAGGGCAGCAAGGAAATTTCGGGCCTGGACATTTCCAGGCAAGTTTTTTGGACACCGTTTTCTGAAACTTTGTCGGATTAATCAAGGGTAACACTTTGCAACACTAGACTCGAGACTTGTCCGTTTGCTGCGGAAAAGAAAGCGACAGTCTTTGTGTACGTTGTGCAATTTAAAGTCACGAACATATTTCTAAGGGAATGCATTGCACAACTTCAGAATTATAACACTTTTATATCACACAACTTGATTACTTTGCCAATGGCTCCACTACAGAGTTGTAGCCAAAAATCTAACACAAGACCTTACAAGGTTAGTGTCAGGTCACCAAAAAGGTAGCCTGGAAACAAGGCCCAAAACTAGGCCCCAACAAGCCTGCAGTGGAGGCTATACGAATATGGTCACTTTGACTCTGTACATGTATGAACACCCACAATCATCTAGATCTGGACTTTTTTCATCCAGACACTTTTTTTTCTTACTCGCCAGCGAACACATTTTAACCATCATGTAACAGTAGTTCTACACTCTTGTGCTGGCTTGTAGTACAGTAACATTGTACATTGTACACTCTATTTTAGTCCGTACTGTACATACATGGATCCACAGGGAAATACTCCCAGCTACAAGTCATCAGATACACCAAGCTTTCGGGAGGTCGAAAACTCCCGGGAACTTGTATCTGAAAATGGTACCTATTGACAGGATGCACAATGTGTATAACCAACAGACTCCAGACTAGTCAACAGTTACAACAGCCAGTAGGCCTACTGTATGCCCAGCCTATACAGCTAAGTCTTCAGTAGGCTAAGCTATCACAGCATAGTTTAGGCCACAAGTATATATTTTACATACTGTAAATTTTATTAACTTCTGTGGCAGTTTTATTTCTGAACGATGGTGGCAAAGAGGGGATTTTGCAGTGTTTTAAATTCTTGCCAAAACAATTCTGTACTACAGTAGTAATACATTTAATGCATATTTGGGGTGTCATGGTTTGCAGTTTAGACGTTATCACACAAATAAAACTGCTGCAAAAGTTTTAAGAATTACAGTATCAATGTTTTTCAGAAATGGCTGTGACATTTTATCATTTACAATCTCACATTTTTCTCTTCTTCTTTTGTCAAAAAACACAAGAACCTGGGGATTGCATTTTGTACTGCCTGAAACAACAAAAAAGTATTACTCATCTGTCCTTTCACGAGTCAAAAGAAATTATCATTAAATCATAACTGTGACATACATACTGGCTTTGATATAAGAAATGTTCACTGTAAGTTGGGCCCAACATTTAGAAGTTTGACAGCTTCAAATTTCTGCTGGGTTTTCGACTTTTGTCCTACTAAGAACAAGTTTAAAAAGCTTAGTCTGAAATATATTCAACAACCGATGCCATAGCCCAGCAAATCTCAGTTACAATGTACACTTGCAAAAAAAAAGAAAAAAAACTTTAGGATGTTTAGCTTCTATTTTAAGGCGCTGTAACATAAAATCTGAAGTTATCATTCTTTTCTTGAACGGTAAGTATATTACCTTTCATGATACAATAACACAGGTGCTATTTATAGTTAGATTTATACAACTATAGTGGTTACATAACAGATTATTCACATAGAAAGCATACATGTAAGCACAGTGCCCATTTATAATCAATCTATCTGCAAAATAATTATCTGGAATGACAAAATACCTCCGTGCTCTCTTCTATTATAATTCTATTCTATAGGAAAATAAAGTTTATTCTACACTCCATTTAACAGCATTATTTTCATAGTTGCTACAGATATGGTGGCTTTTCTTTGACCCCTTTCTGACTAAAAACCTGCAAACTTACAGACAAGAAGCAATTAATACCAGGGGCTCTGGATGGGATGGTTACAAATGTAACTTGGTGGAAAACATACCCACTGTTTTTAAACCCAGCTCCTATTATTATACTGCCATGGCTTAATGTAGTGTCTTTCTTACAACAAAGAGTCATCTAGGTTTGCGTGAAGAGAAGAACAAAAAACATTTTTCAAAAATTCTTCTTTTTTTCTGCTAAATAACTGTAGCAAGATGTGAGTAAACTGCATGTTTATGAATAATATTTGACTGGCTTGATGCATAAATTGAACATGATTATGAAATGCAAACATATTTGATAATCGAAATACATATAATTAGCCAAATAAATGTAAATACCATACATCCTTAATATGATTCTGTAATATCATGAAAAATTAGTATAGTTTGATATTTGAGATGGTTGATGTACATCTCAAAACCCCAGGTGAGATCAGTTTACATCTGTCTAGTAACTATGACATTTTGGAGCCTCCAAGTACAGTATAAGATTACATCTCACAGCCTGGGTACAGGATCAAGTTACATCTCAGGCCCAGGCATATCGGGTTACATCCCCAGGTACAGGTACTGTATCGGGTTACATCTCAGGACCCAGGCATATCAAGTTACATGCCCAGGTACAGGTACTGTATCGGGTTACATCTCAGAACCCAGGCATATCAAGTTACATCCCAGGTACGTGTACTGTATCGGGTTACATCTCAGGACCCAGGCATATCAAGTTACATCCCAGGTACATGTACTGTATCGGGTTACATCTCAGGACCCAGGCATATCAAGTTACATCCCCAGGTACATGTACTGTATCGGGTTACATCTCAGGCCCTGGGTGTTGATCAAGTTCCACCTGGGTGTATTGTGTATAAGACCAGGTAACACCTTGGTTCTCAGGTTACAGACAGAAGCCCTGTGTGTATCAGGTTACGAGTGTTTGGATATCAGGTTACATCTCGAAGCCCCAGGCCTCCAGCCCCTTGATGGTGAAGTCCTCCTGCGAGGTCAGAAGGTCGTTGTTGAAGGTCGTGCAGGCGTGGGTTCGTCCATGGTACAACATCTCGTCCAACCACAGGCCAAACTGGCCGCTGGAAAGAAATATGATACTTACATGTAGCATGAAAGTTCATCTGTGTTGGTACAAATCATTACAAATCATTCCATGAACAAGGTTGATGGAGTCAACCGAAAATTTGGGGTAAGTCCCATTGCTGTAGTCTAAGAGTGTTGGAAGTTAAAGCTTTGTCTTTATTTCATATATATGATACTTGTCAACCACATGCAACATCTTATCCAATCACAAGCATGCATTTAATCCAATAACCAATATCAAGGCTTGAAATACTGGGTGTAGTGCAATGAAATTTGGAGTGTGATATTTAATATAAGGTTGGGTGTACCAGTGCACCTACATCTATTCCCAAAAAGTATTTCAAGCCCTAAATTTGGACCTGGTATATATATAATAGCCAAAGGCAACTTCAGCAGGTTGGAGGTTAAGACATTATGGTGCATCTTAAGAAAAGATGAAGATGTGACTTACTCTCCTCCTCCGATGGCCAGACAGTCCTTGTCTCCCTTGATGAAGAAGGTGTTGTCTCCTGTCCACTTGTACACCTGCAGGAGAAGCAAAAAAAATCAGGTGTTTCACAGAGTTGGACCTTTAGTCCAAGGCCCAATTCCCACTAGGATAAATTTGTCCAGATCGAGCCAAATCGATCCGGCTCCAAGCAAAATCGAAGCCAGATCAAAGCGAATCAATTTGGCTCAATTTATCCTAGTTGTAATGGGTATTTCTGTCATTTTGATGGAGTTTTGCTGGAATTGATGGACAAAAATTTTGCTGAATCCAAATCTTTCACGGACAAAAATTGGTGTGTTACGATACGGAAAAAGATTTCTTTAAGCTAAGCTTTCTCTATCAGCAAAAATTTGTCCCTCAAAATGCATGAAATAGTAAACAAGACTACTTCCGGAGAAGGGTGAAAAAGGCTACAGAAATTCTCTGCATTTACCTTGAAGTCTTGAAAGAAGGTGAAGAGAAAAGATTCTCCTGTTCCGTAGAAATGTTCGCTGATCTTTACTGGGCTGGAGGTCAGAGCTCCAAACACCTGAAAACGGATACATGTCAATCAGTATCATATTTCAACTCTAGGTATCGTATTTCAACTACTGTATCTGATGTACATGTAAATTACAAGGTACTTGTCTTGAAAATCTTGTCAAGCTATGGCTTAGATCTAACTCATGTGGACACACTGATTTTGGCGTCTTACTACAAAAAGGGGCACCAAAAGACAGTTACTCAAGCAATCGGACATGATTTTCGACACCGTTTCAAACCAATATCATATATCCAGTTGCTTGAGTTACTGTCCTTTGGCGTATTTTATTACCTGGATGTCTAACCTTCATCAACGTACATAAAAGTAACATGTTTTTCAATGGCATTGCAAACTTTCTTTTTTTAATGTAGAAATCTCTACACAAACACACACCGCGCTACGCACCCCTGTACAATATAAACGTCGATTGACCGGCATTCATTGCGGTAAACAAACTGTGACGTAATAATGGTATAGGTCCATTAGAATCAGGCGGGCAGGAGACATGATACATTTTTTTTTCAAGTTACCTTGTCGTCAGAATCTTGCACCACGAGCAGCACAGGTGAGTCGACGCCGACCATCTTCTTGTACATAGTGGTGAGGCTGATGCCGTGTTCAAACGTGCTGTAGATCAGCATCCAGGCATAGCCTTCTGTCCTGGGGGGGAGGAACTGGGCAAGCTGCAGGCAGACACAAAAGGCACTGTTACTCATTTGCTTTTGAGGGTTAAGGGTTAAGGGTTAAGGGTCAGTGTTCACTCTTACGGTAAGGTGTCTTTGTTGGTGAAAGGTTAAGGGTCGGAGGTCAGGGTTCACCTGTGAGACGTGTATGGAATCCAGCAGTTCGCTCTTGCCCAGGAGGGTCGGCTGGGGTAGGGTTAAAGGTCTGGGGTTGAGGGTCAGGGTTCAGGGTTACCTGTGAGACATGTTTGGAGTCCAGCAGGTTGCTCTTGCCCAGCAGGGTCGGCTGGGGTAGGGTTAAAGGTCAGGGGTTGAGGGTCAGGGTTCAGGGTTACCTGTGAGACATGTTTGGTGTCCAGCAGGTTGCTCTTCCCCAGCAGGGTCGGCTGCGGTAAACTGTCCTCCACCTCCAACATGGACAACCTACGCCTGGCCTCCATCGCCGTGACGATCTGCAGTAAACAAACAAACAAACAAACACAAACAAATGTGTTCTGTGTGTGCCAACTCTGTCTGTTTACTATCAAACTCAATATGTCAATGATTATGTCCCAATGCAGGTTTTACATTGAGTATTGAGTGTATTGTATATCAAGTGAAGTTAAATCACTAGAGATCGCTTTAATCTGATTAAAAAAAAGGAAGTACTGAAACTATTTTTTTTCTTAGGCCTTACCTCCCAGTCCTTATACAAACTGGACTCTGCGGAGTAGAAGTCATCCACGACTTCCAGCGAGTCTGTCTCCTCTCCCAGCACCACGAAACCCGACACCTCAAGGTCATCCTTGTTGACCTCGTGGCCGTACACGTCCGGCGACCATTGCAGGAAGAACGCGTACAAGTGGTCGGCTCTGGGAGGGGGGGAGAAAACTATGTCAGCAAAACAAAATTTAATACAACATTTGCAAAGCAATAATTGTTTACTTTCAAGTGCTGAAGCCAAAGGACCTATTTCACGTCTGTTTATTTTAATACTCAAACACATTATATGCTGACCAGCCCCTCTCTGTCCTGCCACTTGCTACACAATGTAACCTACATTGTAACACCACAGGACTATGGTGACAGCTATCTGGTCCAGGTTGTTGACCTTTCTTGTTTGGAAAGGAGGAAGACAAAACAGGAAAAACAATGTGTTTTCCTTCTGTGAACATAGTAAACAACCTCATGTCTCATACCAAGGTTACTAAGTGTCTCCCACCAAGGTTTACATTTTCGTGTCTCCCACCAGAGTTTAGTTTACCTGTCCTTGGGGATGGCGAACCAGTATTCAGGCAACTTGGTGCTCCCTGGGTTGACGACCTCTTTGCCCCCCGTGAAGGACTTCTTCATCTGCATGACCTTGAGACACAGGAAGAGCGGCGGGCCTTGGGGGGAGTTCAGGGACTGGGGCTGGGATGGCAGCAGCTCTGTGGGATGGAGAAAAAAAGGTCATAGGGTGGGTCATTCGACTGGTCACAGCGTGGGTCATTTGATCTGTTTGTAGGCATTTCGTCGGTCTTACAAAACCATTATCTGTTATAACGTGGGTCATTGTGTTCTGGGGCTGGGACAGCAGCAGCTCTGTGGGACAGAAACATGGGTCACAACGTGGGTAATTTAAATGGTTACAACGTGGGTCATTTGACTGGTAACAATGTGGCCATGGGTTATTGTGCTCTAACTGGGGCTGGGATGGCAGCAGCTCTGTGGGATGGAGAGATGGGTCACAATGTGGGCTGGGCTTGAAATTAATGGTGTCCCGATGGCCACTGACCAATAAAATTTTGGCCAGGACAACTATAAAATTTTAAGACACTTCGTCATAATGATATACATTGTACATCAGAAATGACAACTTCAAAATACTTTACTTTACTTTCTGTACTTGATTCTGTTTCTTTTATTATCACAACTCTATGATTGTACTTAAGTTGGTTTATACCTTTCTTAATCTATTTATTTTTTTTATATTAATATGTATGCCTTGTGCAGGGAGTTTTGAAAACTGCCAAAATGGCGATACGCTGACCCTGGATAAATAAAATGAAATGAGATCTACAAACCATCAAATGACCCCGTCAAAGACGGCAGGAATGTCGGCCTCTCCCGAACCCTGTCTTCCGTCGCCACCTCCTTCCTCTGTCCGGGGACGTCTTCCGAGGAGGGTAACAGTTTCGAGGCATCCTTAGTAAGCTCGGCGATCTCCTGTTGCACGCCGAAGTCCTCGGGAATGGCCTCGGAAATGTCCTGCACGCCCGACCTGTTCGCTTCTGTCGTGAACAACCCGCAGGAAAAGTCTACAAAGTTTATGCTCTCTTGCACGATCCCGTTTCCAGCCAGAGAAACCAAGTCCGTGGCTGAATCTAAGTCTGTGTCCGTGCTGCTAGTAGCAGCGGCGCCGGTCGTGGTTAAAGTGTCCGACGTTGTGATTGCACCGTTGTCCGCCGGCCTGACGGTGTCCTTCTGGTTGGCCTCGACCATCTCCGCAATGCCGCTCTCCACGCTTCCCGTGTCGCTCGCGTCGCTGCAGCCGCTTTTCCTAACCTGGGAATTACAAGGAAAAATGAGAAATTCAGCTTTAAGAATTTTTACACTTACCTAGTACATGAAAATGTAGCTGTTGTTTTTTGGTGTGTGTGTGTGTGTGTCTGTCTGTGTGTGTTTCTGCATACATGTAGTCAGGGTTGCATCCTGGTTAAAATAAAAATGTGTTGCTGGCGTCGCTGAAACCACTTTTCCTAACCTGGGAGTTAGAAGGGAATTTTCACGTACATGAAAATGTAGGACGATTGTTTTTGGTTTGTCTGTGTGTGTGTGTGTCTGTCTGTGATTCGGCATACTTGTACAGTGTAGTCAACATTAGCCTGGGTACAATCCAAGCATTTGGACTGAGCACACGTGGACTGAGTCTGCTGGGTTCGACTTTCTCTCTTCTTATTACCTGGATATCGAACCTTCAACAATTTACTACAAACCTGGTCGGCAGCAGTTTCCTTTCCATCCGTTGTTTTTCCCCCAACAGCTTTCCCCGCATCAGTTTCTTCGTCAATCCCAGCATCTAGACTTCGCCTGTTTGGGATGACTTTCTCTCCTCTTACTATACCTGGATATCAAACCTTCAACAATGTACTACTAACCTGGTCTGCCGCAGTTTCTTTTCCATCTGTCCCCTTCCCCCCAACTGCTTTCCCGGCGTCTGTTTCTTCGTCAATCCCTGCATCAGGACTGGGTTCACTCCAAAAAAAGGCAGTTTTTTCTAGGTTTGGTTAAGCCTTACCTGGTCTGCGGCTGTTTCTTTTCCGTCCATGCCCTTCCCTCCAACAGCCTTCCCCTGGTCAGTTTCTTCGTCAATCCCCGCGTCAGGACTGAGGACCCGAGGACTGAGTCTGTTGGGGTCCACCTTCTCCTCGATGATGGGGACCAGTTCCTCCACAAACTTCTGCGGCTTTGGCACGTTGGAACCTTCCGCGGCAACCTCGGAACCCTGCGCGGCAACGGGGTCGGATTCCGCGTCTCCGAGGTCCACCAGCTGGGCAACCTGGGCAAGAAGGTAAGATTGTCACCAAACCTCTTATTAGACGTCATAAGAAACTAATTGGATTGTCATATCAAGAACCTTGCCTTATCTACATGTCATTTGAACAGAACACGTGTTCCACTTAGGGTCACTGTCAGTCATGATACTAACGTAACCCTAACCCATTCAGGCATAGAACTAGATAGATATGGTTCTGGATATGATCAAAAGTTAATGTACTTTGAGAGATTTGATGTAACAATGCCAATGAATGAAAAACATCACAACATTAGAATATGCTGTGGTACAGACAAATAATTCAAAATGACATATAACAAATCTTTTCCACCTCCACGGCTGTCTGCTGCTGCCGGGCGCCGCCGTTTCCCCCACCGAACACCTCATCCTCCAGACTCTCCGACCGTTGCCCAGGTAACGAGGCTTTTCCATTGCCATGGCAACTGCTCCTAGAGGAGCTGGTTGGTTCCGCCTCGTCCTGGCTGTAGTCGCCGGACTTGTAAATCTCGTCTCTGCAAGGATGGGCAAATATCAATCAATCAATCAATCAATGAACCAACCAACCAATCAATCAATCGATCAATCAAAATCTCTCAAGAACTACACATGTAATAAGCATGATTAAAATTACTTCAAATTCTGTACAACAACAGACGGCAACAAGAATTCAGTTTGTCTCTTTTTGTTTACCTGTGTTGCTTGTTTACCTTTTATGTTTCTGAGTAAAGAGACTCTTTTTACACCACCAAGTGTTTTATTCACAGCCGACGTTTCAGTGACCGTCTGTCACCTTCCTCAGGGCAATTCTGACTGGTTCACATTACACTGCAGCACAGGTGTCGCTGCTATAGATGCATTCATGTTCTTGCTTTATCATGGGTCTGATATCATGGTACAAGGCAGATTGCAGCTGCAGGGTTGTTTACCTGTGTTTATTTACATGTTTGTTTACCTTTTATGTTCCTGTTCCATCATGGGTCTGATATCGTGGTACATGGCAGCGGATAGAACCGTGTCCATCTGTTGTTTGTTTACCTGTGTTGTTTGTTTACCTTTTATGTTCCTGTTCCATCATGGGTCTGATATCGTGGTACATGGCAGCGGAGAGAACCGTGTCCATCTGTTTGTTTGTTTGTTTGTTTACCTTTTATGTTCCTGTTCCATCATGGGTCTGATATCGTGGTACATGGCCGCGGATAGAACCGTGTCCATCTGACAGATCAGTCCGTACTCCTCACATCCTGTCTCGATGACCAGCGGGTCCGACTTGTGTGGGTCGAACATGATGGCGTTGGGAGTCACCAGGAGAACTCCGCTTACTGTGCCCTAAGAATAACAACATTAGGGATATGTTAGCTATCATACAGTCAGCCCTAGCCCTAGCCCTAGCCCTAGCCCTAGCCCTAGCCCTAGCTAGGACATGTTAACAACATACATGTAGCTGTGATGCAGCCCTAACCCTAAACCTAACACATCCGGTCTCGATGACCAGAGGGTCCGACTTGTGCGGGTCGAACATGATGGCGTTGGGAGTCACCAGGAGAACCCCACTTACTGTGCCCTAAATAACAACAGGGACATGTTAACAACATAACTGTCACGAGAAGCACCCAGCTTACTGTACCCTGGAAAAATTTATAACATGTTAGCTACATTGTACCATGGAGTCAGTCCTAACCCTAACCCTCCATAACAGCTACTAACTAAAGACTGAGGGCTGTCTTAGTTTGGAAGACGATATGATTTGCTCATGTTTGACAGAATTATGTTTGACTTATCATTACAAGGTAATTTCTGAAATATACAATGTAGCCAGATCTAATCTTATTAATATGTTTTATTCATGATTAATTTCATTTTCCAGCATGAAACATTGTTTGACCTTTATGTCAAGGACAACTCCTAATCAAAACGCTCATCAGTACTAACCTGAAATTAGTTCTGTTCATCATTTGAATTATAGCTGGTTTGAAGAATGTGAAATTTTGTGAGGCAAATGTTTTCCTCCCACAGGGAAAATTGTCAGTGCTCTACCATGTAAATTAAATCACAGACCTGAAGCTGCCCACCTACGAATATGTCACTGAATCTAAAAGTAAAACCTGGGCTAGGACAATCAAGGGAAAATGTTACGCGCCAGCAATGATGTACTTGACCTTGACTGACCTTGTCAGCTGTGATGTACCTGGCATTGACTGACCTTGACAGTAACATTGACTGACCTTGAGGACTATGACATTGAATGACCTTGAGAACAGGGACCTTGAATGACCTTGAGAGTAACATAGACTAACCTTGTAATAGAGACTTAACTAACACTGATGATGTTAAGAAACTACATGTAAGACTCACCTTGCCAGCAGTGATGTACTTGACAATAACTGACCTTGCCAGCAGTGATGTACTTGACAATAACTGACCTTGCCAGCAGTGATGTAAGGTCACATTGACTGACCTTGTAACAGTGACATTGACTGACCTTGCAACAGTGACATTGACTGACCTTGCCAGCGGTGATGTACTTGACATTGATCTTGAGGAACTGTTCGTGGAACTCGTCCTCCTTCTGGCTGCCGAGTTCATCTAAGGACGACTGCCGGCTGCTGCTGGGGGTCACGACCTGGGCGGGGCTGGTCACATGACCAGGCTCCGGAGCCTGAGGTTAAAAACAAGCATCAGTTTCTATCCTGCCAGTTTGAACTGTGAGGGTTGGAAATATTTTTGGTAATCTGCAATGGGTGGTGCATAATAGCAATTATCATATAGCCATGTGACTTTGACCAATCAGAAGGCTCCATTCCATATGGCTTATAACGCCATATTGTCACAAACAGAGTCAAAGCAGGTCTTTATTCATCACAATCCATACATAAAACAATCCAATAATCACCCGCAATTGACTTTGGGTGACCCAAATAGAACACAACCCTGTTCCATTGACATCGGATGACACCCAAAAGGAACTTCGGTTCTGTTCTGATGACCCAAACAGAAAACGCTGACCTTGTTCCAATGTTCCGATGAACTCATATGAATCCTGATGGAACACGTAAAAGTAAAATCTGGCTGGCAGCCTTGAAGAACTTATTTATCTACTTACCGAAGGTTCCTTTTCACGAACAACAGGCAAGTCCTGCAAAAATACAAACAACAGTTAAACAAGTGTCTACCAAACAAAAGTGCCTGAAGGAATTTGAGCAGGTCTTAAGCAACACAATCTCCTTGCAGGAAAAGTAAGAAAGTCTTAAGAAATACTGACAAATCTCCTAGAGGGAATCTCGGTTGGAGGAGAGGCAGGCGGAGAAGCTGGGCTGCTGGACACGGACGTTTCCTCATCAGTCCAGGCATCGGGATCAGGCACGTACAGCATCTACAGTAAATAGATAAATAAACAAAATCTAATAAACAAATAAGGTCGTGTGGCGCAGTCTGTAGCGCGTTCATCTAACACCCAAGAAGTCTCGGGTTCGAACCCTATCATGCCACTGATCTTGTGCCCTTGGGAAAGGTACTTCACACGACTTTCCTCACTTCACTCAGGTGTAAATGAGTTCCTAGCTTCAGTTAGGGACATCCCTCGGATAGGACATCACGTTGAACATCACAGAAATATCTTACAACACATCACACACACTACAGAAAACTAATCATGCCAGGAAATAACATCCTTGTTGGCAATTTGGCCAGTATCCATGTACATCACACACAAGTATACGTTACAACATACAAGACAAACGCTTTACAATAACCAAGACTTAGTAGTATCACACACACTACAGATAACTCACCATGCCTTGTTGGCAGTTTGTTCAGTCTGGCCCGGTCTTACTAATGAATTATCCAACCACATCACACAAGGACTTTACAACATAAAAGAGGTTAATATTAGCATCACACACACTACTACAGACAACTCACCATGCCAGGGAACACCATCCTGGTGGGCAGTTTGTTCAGTCTGGCCAGTTCTGATGGAGTTGTGTCAAACTGGAGAGCAATGCCAGCAAGGGAGTCACTCTTCTGAACCTGAGATAAACATAAACAAACAAACAAGTCAACAAAACTGGGGCCAACATTCAGGCCATTGGCAGAGAAAGTGGAAGGACTCTCAATGTGGATTCTCTCTTTTTCTGAATGAATGAATGAATGAATGAATGAATGAATGAATGAATGAATGAATGAATGAATGAATGAATGAATGAATGAATGAATGAATGAATGAATGAATGAATGAATGAATGAATGAATGAATGAATGAATGAATGAATGAATGAATGAATGAATGAATGAATGAATGAATGAATGAATGAATGAATGAATGAATGAATGAATGAATGAATTATATAGAGACAGAATGATGAGTTAACAAGAAGAATGCATGGTCAGTCGATGGGTGAATAAATGGATGAATGAGTGAATAAATGGATGGATGAATGAATGTATGAATAATAGAGTGACAGAATGATAACTGAATGACTGAAACACTGATAGCATTGATGCATGAGAAAGAATAATAATATTGAAAAAATGAATGGAAGGTAGATGAATGCATGGTTCGTTGATGAATGAATGAACGAGTGAAGAGAGTTATGATGTAGTCCTTACCCCGTTCTGTGCTGTACTTACCACGTACTCAGATGTGCCCTTAGGTTTAGGAAGAGAGCGGGTTCGCCGCGCTCCTTTCTTCTCATGTGGGGACTTGGCCACATCTTGGGAGTCTGTGAAACAACATCAAAAGGGGATCAATTAAGTTACTGCACACCAGTGCCATTGCACTAGAAAAACTGCCTCAATACTACAATATATGTATAGTGGGTTACAAATTGCTTGCTAAGGCCACACCAATTTAATTTTAATTTCTTGGTTAACGGATTCGCCGCTTCATTTTTTTCTGATTTGCAAATAAAAATAAAAATCCAGAATCAACTGCAAAATGCTAATATTTTGCCCTGAACAGTTGAAAACAGACCTTTTCATCCTAGTTGTTACAGTTATTCCATCTTTCAATGCAATGGTATCATTAAAAGTTCAAAATTCATCGTTTAAATTTTGAACCAGCCTGGTGTGATGACTTCATGGCTCCTATCGTACCATTTTGGGCCATAATACGATGCCTAGGCCTGTTTTTATTTTTTATTTTTTTTCGCCCGCCCGCTCCATTATTTTTCTAGAAAAATCCGTTAACCAAGAAATTAAATTGGTGTGGCCTAATGGTTGTTTAGGGTTCAAAGGTTTGGGACAGGTTTAGAGATTTGCAGGTTAAAGTAGTGACCAGTGCACTAATGGGACTAAACAGTTTGTGTGTCTGGGTGGTCAGTAGTCAGGCACAGTATGCATGCAGGGATTCCAGTTATGTTTTAGAGGATTCAAGCCAAGGGATGTGTGGGATGTTAAGATGTGTGTTGGGTTTGAGGGTTATGCATATGGGTTAGGATTAAAACCCTGGTGTAATGTGGGACTGAACTGTTGATGTGTTCTGGCCAGTGAAATTTTCTAGGAAAACAAGACTAGGGTTTGAGGGGTTTCTAAAGTATGATAACGGGACCTAGTAAGAGTTTTCTGGGATAAGGTTTAAAGATTAGGGTTTGGGGGTTAGGCATAGTGTTGTTAGTTACTGACCGAGTGAGAGTTTTCGAGGATAGTCCTGTGGCTTGTCCTTGGCTGCCTCCCAGTCCTTCCCTCTGTCCCCGACCTCTGACCCGGCGGTCTCCCACGGAAGTACCGACGGACCCCCGCTCATGTCCACCGACTGGCTGAATCTGAGGGTGCGAATAAAACATTAAATGTTCTGAATCTGAGGGTACAAATAGAAAAATTAAATGTTCTGAATTTTTTCTAGGGTTGGCCGGCATCAGGAAACAGGAAACACAGCATTTTTTTCTAGGCTCTAACAGTCTTAATTGTATTATGTCTATGTCTCAGACTCTGTAATCATTACATCATAATGGCTGCTAGCTGCAGGGCATCCACTGTATTGCAATGTTTGCAATTCAAAACAGTCTTTAACAGTTTGTTAGTGGTCACCACTTTTCTATAAACTTACCTGCCAGGCTGTTTGTTGCCTCCTCTCTGTAGCATCCCTCGGTACCTGCAAAGTTAACATGATGTATGGGTTAAGTGCTTCATTTCATAGATTAATGAGTTACTGTACACTAGTAATTAAACGCCTGGTCAACGACTTGGTGATTAATCTCACAGATTAATGAATCAGTAATGAAAACTCCAGTTAATGACTTAATGATCAATCATAAAAGACAAATGAGCTATATTAGAACAGTATAACACTGAACGACATGTTACACCTAAGAAACCCTTGAATATCTAACTCTAAACATTAATGCCCCTGCCATACTGTACTTGGTGACAGTGAGTTGCACTTTGCGATATAGTTTCTAGGATTCCGTAGGAAAGAGTGAGTTTTTGAACACCTCAATCCTTTCCTCTGAATTTCCAGCCCTGCTATGAAACGTTGTCCCCTCCCCAGGCCTGATACACAAATGTACCTACGTAGAATAAGAGTGTAGCATGATGACAGAAGCCTCCACTGGGGCTGCCTGCTGCAGATTTAATCAAATTGTTCCTCTCATGTTTTTCATGTAATTTGTGCTGGCTTATAGGGACTGTCCACTACTCACCAAGGGGAGGGTGTGGCAGCTGGGGGAGAGCCATACAATAGCGCAGGGGGCGGATTTATCAATTTTATATGATGAAAATTGACAAATGTAATCGAAAACAAAACCTCTGTGCATTGATATCTAAGTCTACGAGTACAGAAACACACATTGTAGCAATGCTGAAGACAAGCTCAACTCACTGACAGTGAGAACTAACTGGCCCAATACTAGAAAGCTTTATAAAGGCTACTCAGGAACATTCCCTACCATAGGGCACAGACAAAACATTGAACAATGCACAGAATTGAAGGACTGACTCTAACAATTAATTGGACCATGATCCATGCAGCTATTTTCTGATACTCATAAGCAAGACATTTGATTCAAAGGCCTATGCTGTACATGTATAAGTACATGTATATGTATATGGCTGTAAATTATTAACAACTTACATAACAGTGATATACACTGTATCATCACAATAATGTATGAATGTACAGGTACATGTAGAAATAACTGTTACTGTGTGGTCACAATCATTCAAATTTGTCATAATTCTTTTTTTTTTTTTAAACTGTGCTATGGACACCGTGTAGAGGTCATCCCAATGTCACAGAGACGACCTTGTGGACTGTCCGGGGTAAACAGTGATTACACTGAAGGTCGTTTGCATCGCGAGCAGGATACGACCTTTCAGTGTCAGGTATACATTATTCCACATGCCCATATATGGGTAATTACACAACTCACCGGGCCATGTTAATGTGGTATGTTGTTTTGAATCAGTTTGAACTGTAGTGTAAGTTTCAAAACAAAAAAAAAATTGACTTGCACAAATTTTTGGCTGATCAACTTTAGCCTTTGTGAAGGGATGTAACATTTGGGTTTATCAAATTTTTGTGTTGGAAAGAATTTAGAGTAAACTGTGCAAACCTTTTTTTTAGAATAACTTCTACCAACACAAACATACAAATTTTACCCATTTTGGCCAGGCCAACTGAATTCTTTTTCTCAAGCTGGAGGAGCAACATTGCCAACAACAGACAAAACAATAAATTCTTTGTAAATGTAAATGTAAACTATGACTACTGTTGTATTTTGTGTGCAGGAGCATTGAATTGTAACGGTATGTGTGCACCTGTTTTCACCTGTTTTGCATGGTGAAAAACTCAAATAAACAAAAAACCAGTATAAACAAAACACAAAGCTAAAAAATTTGCCATGTGACCCTTAAGGCCTGGTCAGGCCCATCGTTAAAAAGTGAAAGTACTGAAACCCTGCAGCTCGTTACAGAAGTGATTAGCGCTGTCATTACCATAACTCTGCTCACTTCTCATCATTCCTGTCACAGGTCCAGTCAGAAAAGTGATTATTGCTGCAGGACCAATTAACCTGAAATTCTGTCTGGGATCCCAGTAAGTTGTCCTGTAACTATCAATGCATACTGGTTAACTGGACTTGGATCCGGACTTGTAAGAATGTTTAGGTTCAAGTCCAAAAAAACCTAAAAGTCCCCCTTTTCTTTCCAAACCACCTCAAACCTTCCGTAGATTGCAAAATGAAGAAAACGCTGCCTTTGGGCATCGTCAAATACCGGCCTCCATGTTATGTGGCCAAAGTTTCACCTAGACAACATTGCAAGGTTGCCAACATGCAATTTTGTACATGCCATGGGTTTAGCTTTAGGTCCGGACTTACAAGTCCGGAACTGAACCTAAACCTCTGGACTTGAATCCGGACCTGAACCTAAAATTGGGTTTAGGTATGCAGCACTAGCTACAAGTATACGTACCTAAACCCACATTTAGGTTCAGGTCTGGATTCAAGTCCAGAAGTTCAGGTTCAGTTCTAGACTTGTAAGTCCGGACCTAAATCCATATGGCATATACAAAATTGCATGTTGGCAACCTTGCAATGTTGTTTGGGCAAAACTGTGGCCAGACATAACACATGGAGGCCGGCGCCAACACTTGACAATGCCTAATAGCAATGTTTTCTTTATTTTGCAGTACAGATTTTACAATCTATGGAGGGTTTTACTAGACATCATTGTCTTGACTTGTCTAGTACCAGTATCTTTTGTTTCCTTTGGGACTTCTAACAAAAATTGTCTCCAATTATTTGCATATCAATCAACAGTTTGTAAATAACAAAAAAAAAAAATGCTTTACCATGAGAAAAGCAACTTTTCTGTCCTTAAAAACTTGAAATTCTGGAGCATAGACAAGCTCTAGGGCTCCTGGCACCTTTCCCAAACAAACCAACCTATCCCAGATGACCCCTGACCTTTAACTTTCGCCACACCCCCTTTGGCAATTTTCTACCGTCAAAACAACATTTCCTGTTGGTCTGTAGCCTCCATAGCAATTGCCAAAAACTGGGGGTTTTGGGGGTCTTCGGGAGATTTTATGTGCTATTTTCTGATTGCATTTAGACAACATATAGCTGACCTGGTAGAACTGGGCTAATCAGAAAACAGCCAAAGACCACCAAACCCCCTGCTCTATATATGCCTAGGCCTGGAGGCTATATGTTGTTCCCATGCTCTGTACCTGACAGTATCAACAGCCCAAATGTTTAAATTGGAGGATTCCGGAACAAAAACTAGACATACAACAAATAGAGAGATGATTTTTAGAGCTTTGTATTCGAAGAGCTGGTATTTCTTTATGTATAAACTGACATATTTAGTTTTTTTCATGGAGAATATTACTTCAAATAATAGCTACATGGGTTTTCAGAATCAGAACAGATTGGCACAGAAGTGACAGTACTTTTAATGTTGAACTTGAAGTAAATAAGCAAGTTCAGGTTTAAACTAAGGATCTAACAATACACAACTTGTATTTAATTTTAAAGAATTTGCAACATGGAACAATATATTCAAAAATGTTCTCAAAATATCATCTTCTGAAGATTTACATGTACCAAGCATTACTCAATGATCAATAATGGTGCCTTCTGATTGGCCAATCCTGAAACATTTGAATGTGTAATAAGGATGTGGTGCACTGTGATTGGTCCTTCATATTGTGGTCTGTGATTGGCTCATCCTATCCATTCACTAGTAATAACTAATGAGGAAATGGTGCCATGTGATTGGCTATTTTCCATCCAATCAGCTTTAGCGTAAACCATCCATCCATCATTCATCCATCAATACTTTCATTCATTCGTCTGTTTCACATTTTTGGAAGAACGTGGCTATATACACTCTCGGAGTGTATATAAAATCTATTTGTCTTTTATATACACTCCGAGAGTGTATATAAAATCTATTTGTCTTTTATATACACTCTCGGAGTGTATATAAAATCTATTTGTCTTTTATATACACTCCGAGAGTGTATATAAAATCTATTTGTCTTTTATATACACTCTCGGAGTGTATATAAAATCTATATAATTTGTCTTTTATATACACTCCGAGAGTGTATATAAAATCTATTTGTCTTTTATATACACTCCCGGAAAGTTGATAGGGCATTCGAATGATCTGTCGCCGGTGCGAAGACCGTGCGATCGGCTGGGTTATCCAGAGTCACCAAAGAGACCGGGGCGAACCCCGGGTTGGTCTTGGTCTGATAAATGCACGCCAGACCGTGAGGTTGGTGCTTCTGCCGCATGTATTAGCTCTAGAATTACCACAGTTATCCATGTAGGATGTGACGATCAAAGGAACCATAACTGA